TTCGTATTCTCTCATTTGTATTTATTTAGCTGTTTTGCCTTACCATTGGTCAAAATTAACATGGTTTAGTGAAGAAAAATGCAAGTTTATAAAATTTAACCAAAATCCAAAACAGAAAAATCATGAATAATACACTTCACTTAACATGGTTTAGTGAAGAAAAATGCAAGTTTATAATAACATTTAACCAAAATCCAAAACAGAAAGGTTCTTTAACCAAAATTAAGAAATGACAATAGAAGTACTCTCATCGAGAAAGCCATAACAAGAATAAGAAGTTAAAAAAATTTTAAAATAAGAACTTAAGAAATGACAATAGAAGTACTCTTAACATGGTTTATTGAAGAACAAATGCAGGTTTATAAAATTTAACCAAAATCCAAAACAGAAAGGTTCTTTAACCAAAATTAAGAAATGCAAATAGAAGTACGCTCAGCGAGAAAGCCATAACAATAATAAGAACTTAAATAATTTAAAAATCTTCAACGATCACTCGCCCTTGATTTTCTTCTGGGATGGTTTCTTGCTGACGGAGTGTTGATCCTCAAGACTTGTGTCATGATCTTCTCGATCTTCGTGGCTTTTTCTTTTAGACAAAGGAGTGACTGAAAACTCACCAGAACCAAAGGAAATAGCATCCGAGTTCTGCAACATTAGGACCAAAGACATAAATCTTACTAATTAAACACTATGTTATATTTAGTTTTTAGCTTATGTGGCAATGAAATCATTTGTTTTAATACCTCTGGTTTAGGAGGTAAAGCAGCAAATTCCTCAACCATTTCACGGTCTTCGGTGGCCAATCGAACTACATACTTCGAGCTCTTTCCCTTGATGTTGTCAGCATCAACTGATATCTCAAAAAGGAATCGCTTTCCACAAAGGTCGGTAACCGCTTCAGGTAAGACATCGGGATCTTCATTCTACGATCATATATAGTAGGTTACAGTGTAGTTATAGAACCAATCACATAATGTCTACCTTATTAATTAATAAAAACTACCTCATCATAAAGTTCAGCGGCAGGATGATGGACAATAAGTTGAGCGTTGGCGTCAAACAAAAGAAACTTTGCCTCACCTGAATCGTCCTTAACATTTGCAATTAATTTGAACCTGAAAAAAAACATCAAACTAAACATGATACCTAAGCTTTATATGTCACAGAGCGAACGCTAGTTGTAAAGCACATTCCCTTGTAATAATTGCAACAGTCAGTTATGAATACATTACCTTGAAATGACCTCAATGTGCTCCTTATCGCATGTAGTGCAGAAGAACAAGGGACGGCTAAGCGCATCAACATTGGTTGTTGGCATGACTTTTTTGTTATGGTATTTGCAGCTTAGATATTGCCACCCACGATCAGCATCGATGCTTTCAATTGTGACAAGAGTGACAAAAGTACCAACCTACAAATATGCATGCAAATTAATATTTTTGTAACTATTAGATGCACAAATAATGATTCGCAGCCTTGTTTAATAAATATACCAGATCAGTATCGATGATCTCCCTTATGGTTAGCCTCTCATTAGTCACAAAAAACCTAGCACGAACAGATGTAGCACTACCAACGGACCATTGGCTACTATCATTGTTTGTAAGAGCAAGTGAATCATTGGGGAGACTGCACAGTAAAACAAAGTGATAAAACCTCTAGTTTCTCGTATAAAGGTAAGATGAAATTACGATGAGACATACCTAGCTTTAAAATTTGCAATTAAATCCAATGTTGGGTTCAGCAAAATATGGATTGAATTGTACCCGCTAGATATGGAGTAAGCACCTGCGGTACCACGAAGCTTATGAAAATGTTATGAGATAAGTCATTTAAGAAAGTAAGTGTAGGAACTATACCTTTCCACTCTTTAATGGAACAAAACCGGATTAGAGAAATGATCATTGTGGACATGTTTAACATACTGTAATCATATACTTGTTTAGCATAACAGCCCCAAAGAGTACACATCAACTTCACATCACTGCATATAACACCACTATTATTAATGGATAACACAAGAAAAGCTGATCCAATAGTTTAAAGGAAAAGGCATAATATTAAAACTTACTTTTGGTCCCTTAACTCAATCAATACTCTGAAATTATCCATTCTTTTTATGACTTTGTTTTCCAGAGATCCGAAGTTAACTACTTGGCCAATAACATCTACATATCAAGTTAAGAAGTAAATATTGTGTCATTTAAAAATATTGTAAGACAAAGCAATAGTACGAATTTGACTCACCAACCAAACAACTGTTATCAAGCTTCCCATCAATAATATCACTGTAATTGACAAGATACTTCTCCGGAACTTCACTTGGGAAGTCATCTGCTGGTCCAACAAAAGTAGTCTGAAAGAATCCAATTTTGTAGGGATGCGCGGTGGTTCGATAATCACCAGTAGCGTCGTAGACTTTAAATAAGTGGATGACCTTTGCATCGCCTTCGGTTAGTTTCCCTTCAAAATGTTTTATGAGCACTTCACCGACTTGAGCATGGATTCTTGTCCCCTACACGGTGATGAGAAGAGAGTTAAAGATGTTTGCTGTAAAAAATTTAAGAACAATCGAACTAACATAGGAAATCAAGTAATGAACTTACTTCTTTATCGACAAACACCATTTCGATGGTGTTTCCGGAATCTCTGTTGTAGTTTCTCCATAAACGCAGAATCCTAACCTCAATACGCCATGTATCTTTACACGGTCTCAATTCCCTGATAGATGACACTCGATTTTTCGTAGCTTTAACCATTGCATAGATGTTTTTGAGACTTGCGTTAGGTCTACAGACATTATGACATCGTTAATATATACTGAATTACTTTCCTAATGGTATGAGATTGACATCTTTGGCATTTAATTTCCAACTTGTTTCGCAAGTTATCGAATATAATGTAAGCTCTCTAATTAACGTAACCAAATATTTGAGATACGATTTATTGAATATTATATAAGGCAAGTAATTAAGGTAACCAAATATTTGAGATACGATTGTCAAACCATTTGTACGGCGAAAAAAAAATACCAAAGAAAATTGAAATAAATCAACCAATCATATTGTCAGAATTTCTCTGAGAAGACTTGTATGAGTGACATGTGTCCAAGTGACTTCTCTTTTAATGTATAGGGGAATACACAAAAATTTAAAATTTAGAATCATCATTTGAATAACAATGGATTGTGTTTAGATTTAAACTCTATTAAAATACATGATTGAATAACACCACCTTACACGTGATCACAAACTAAAATACTACAAAAGAAGATGAAAGCACAGATGAACCATCTCTGTTTTACTCTTTAGATGATTAGATCACATTGGTGTCCAACTCTCGGTCAATCTTTCGAATTCCTCTGATTCGTGTGAATGTTGTCGCTTCGTCCTTTTCCATGGCGATGATGAGGTCTCACTTTGTGTCTTTCTGAACTCTCATCAACACGTGATGTGTTAACTTTGGGTTTATTATGGACTTCCAACTTAAAACCAATTGGTGATAAGTGGATTGGCCCTAATCCTTTATATATTAAATAATTACTTCTCCAATTACCGATGTGGGACTTAGTTTCATTCATTAACACTCCCCCTCACGCTTATGCGTGGACAACTGTGGGAACAACATCCACGGAGTGGCCCAACATGGGTGGCTCTGATACCATGTTAACTTTGGGTTTATTATGGATTTCCAACTTAAAATCAATTGGTGATAAATGGATTGGCCCTAATCCTTTATATATTAAATAATTACTTCTCCAACTACCGATGTGGTACTTAGTTTCATTCATTAACATGATGAACCACTTGCATTCTCTCTCATTCCATTCCTGTCGAGTTCTTGCGCTTCTCCGACGCTTACACCATCTACCAAGCTTCCCTGGGGTCGTCGTTATCCTTTCCTGCTTTGATCAGAATCAGGATCGCCGGGCTTGTATTTATCTCTTTATCTGACTGATATTCTCTGGGACTAGTATATGAATATATTGAAGAAGGGCTTCCAGAAATTAAATGAATCAAACCGGACTGTTGGTTTACCAATTGATATACAATTGAATGAAACCGATATAAAATTGGAATAAACAATACCAAACCGGATAACCCTAGTTGGTTAACCAATTGACAGTGAAAGACTCCAGGTTGCTTGGTCGGAGCTCTCTCTCTCTCGTTAGAATTAGTAAAAGTAGAAAACTTTCGTCTCGACTTTTGATTTCTTCTTCAATCACACTATACCTTAGTAAGCATCACTCCTTGATTCCTCTGTTTTCCTCTGTTTCTAGATTTCGAATTTGCAAACTAAAGTCACCTCATTTTTTTTTTTACTCTGTTTTCCCCTTTGTAGATTGCTTAATCTTTTTTGTTTACTCTGTTTCTCTATGTAGATTGCTTAATCTTTGTAAAAGTTGTATGCTTTCTACATCCTTGCCTCTTGAGGATGCCCTTCACCTTCTCCAACGTTTCTTCACCTCCACAAACCAAATCAAACAGATCCACTCTGTTCTCTTCACAACCAACGCATTACTCCCTTCCAAACCAAAAACCAAGTTCGTCTACAACACTCTCATCCGATCCTACCTCACAACAGGACAACACAACACTTCTCTATCTCTCTTCAACCACATGCTTGCAAACCAAGTCAAACCAAACAACCTCACTTTCCCTTCTCTCATCAAAGCATCTCACTCTTCCTTCTCTGTTTCCTACGGTCTTTCCTTACACGCCCAAGCTCTTAAACGCGGTGTTCTAAAAGACCCATTTCTCCCCACTTCCTTCGTTCGCTTCTACGGTGAAGTTGGTGACTTGAGAAGCTCGAGGAAGATGTTTGACGAAATTTTGGATCCTTGTGTTAAAGCTTGTAATAGTTTGCTTGATGCATTTGGAAGAAACGGAGAGATGGACTCTGCTTTTGAGTTTTTTAAGAGAATGCCTGTGACTGATGTTGTCTCTTGGACTAGTGTTATCAACGGGTTTGGTAAGAACGGGTCACACGCCAAAGCTGTAATGCTTTTTAGGGAGATGATAGTGGTGGTAACACCTAATGAAGCTACTTTGGTTAGTGTGCTTTCTTCTTGTGCTAAGTTAGATCGAGGAGGTGTTTATTTAGGGAAGCAGATTCATTGTTATGTTATGAGGAAGGAGTTTATCGTCACTGCTACATTAGGTACTGCTTTGCTTGATATGTATGGGAAAGGGGGTGACTTGGAGATGGCGTTGATTATTTTCGATCAGATTTTTGATAAAAAAGTTTGTGCTTGGAATGCTATATTATCAGCTCTTGCTTCAAATGGTAGACCTGAGGAAGCATTAGAGATGTTTGAGATGATGAAATCAAGGAATGTGGAGCCGAATGGGATCACTCTACTTGCAGTACTCACGGCTTGTGCTAGATCTAAACTTGTGGAGTTAGGTATCCAGCTGTTCAGTTCTGTATGTAGTGAGTATAAGATCACTCCAACGTCAGAGCATTACGGTTGTTTGGTTGATCTCATTGGAAGAGCTGGACTATTGGTTGACGCGGTTAATTTCGTAAAGAGTTTACCGTTTGAGCCTGATGCTTCTGTTCTTGGTGCTCTTTTGGGTGCTTGTAAGATTCATCAGGATGTTGAACTAGGAAATGAAGTAGGTGAACAGCTTATTGGACTGCAGCCAGAGCACTGTGGCCAGTACGTGGCGTTGTCAACACTAAAGGCTTTGAGTAACAATTGGACAGAAGCAGAGCAGATGAGGAAGGTCATGGTAGAAGCTGGAATACAGAAAATCCCTGCCTATAGTGTGCTTTCTTGAGTAAGTGAGAAATAGATTTTTTCAGACAAGAGTTACTGAGCAATCTCTGTTCAGGTCAGTATTCAGTAAATGTGATAAGTTTTCACTTCTGTCTTCTGTGAAACTCTTGCTTAAGCTTAGTTCATTGTTATGGTTTGCAATATTCTCATATAAGCTGAACAATAGAAGAACTCTCTTAAGGTCATTCTTCTGTTCTGAAGTAAGCCTTGACGGGAACAAGACATCAAATCCGACTCTGAGGTCTCCTCTTTTCAAAGGGTGTTTAGTTGGCATTCCTTCGTTTGTGATCACAATCTCCTGACCCGGTTTTACAGTATCCAGAACCGGGATTGTCAAGTTCCTCCTGTCAAGAGTTGTTAAGCTGATTGTGACTCCGGTTAAAGCTTCTATTAAAGAGGCTTTCTTCATGAAAAATCAGATCGTTAAGGTCTCTTGTGTAAACAGGATGAGGTTTCTCGTCTACAACGAAAGTGAGATCAGCAGGAGAGACGCCAGGTTCTTGGTTGCCTTTCTCAGGGAAATGTTATCTTCGTGTCTTTATTCCAACCTGGTTTTATGCCTATCTTCACGATATCTTGGACTGTCTTTGGATTCCTGTAATGAAGATATCAAAGATGATTAATGGAGTTAACGAGATTAGGAGATGCTTCGCAATGGTTGATCACAGTCTCTTTGCCCATTTGCACAGACAAGAAGTCTTTGGTCTCATCACAAAGTTTATAAGTTTATGGTTGGCGTCCAATGACTCTCACCAACCCAAGAACAAACAGAAAACCAAAGAAATCACAATACCTTTATAAACAAAATGTTTGATAGCTTAATTAAATATGATCACTACAAGATTGTTACATGATTACCAATGGTTATTGCTTGCTATAATTCATACAGTTTACAAATATTCCCGATTGAACAAATGTCATCACATTTACAAGGTTTTCAGGAAAAAATGTATTGACTGAAAAGGAAAAGTTTATTTATCATTGTTTTTTTTGTTGTAAACTTGCTTTCTTAATTTAAAATGCAGAAAGAAAATAAAACCTTACAAGCATAATGCTTCAGTTTGTTATGGGTAAACCCAGTAGTAAGCCCTATTGGAAACACATATTAGAAACTAAAGGCCCAAGTGAATAAGCCAAAACTCAGTTGATGATTAAGGAAGTTGAGACGAGGAGAGGAAGAATCGAGAAGGGATTGCTTAGTTTTCTCCGAAGAACTCATGATCGGAGAAACCAGGCTGTGCCATCGCCGAGGAAGCTCGTGGGTTTGCATGTCGAAAGCTCTGGAGTCGATTACGAATCTGTTTGTCAATGAGGGAGATGATAGTTTCCGGTGGTTTAAAAATCTGTTGGTGAAGTCTTTTGTTACGCTCAGTCCAAAGCCAATAGATTGTGGCTTGAGTTGCTAGAAGCTTTAGGCGCCGAGAGTCACGATTTGTACGAAGGGATTGAAGATGTAAGATAGTATCATCCCAGGAGTAAAGCGGTTGAAGATCGCAGCGAGTAGCAATCTGTATCCAGACGGTGGCGCTAAAGTGACACTCAAAAAATAGGTGATTTCTGCTCTCATGATTTGTATTACACAGCAAACATTTAGGATCAACATTGAGACCCCATTTGTTTAACCTGTCTCTCGTAGGACACCGATCAAGTAAAACCAACCATGTGACAAAACTATGACGCGGGATACCATAGGAAAACCAGACGATCTTAGCCCAGGGAACATGAGGTTGATGCCCTTTGAGGTAAGTATAGATCTCACCAGTGTTGTATTTCTGTCTCAACCTTTCGTCAATCTCCCATTCATAGAAATCATCTGCTTCAGATAACTCAACAGTAGTCAAATATACCTGAAGAGCTAATTGGTTTTCCGTTCTTGCAGGAGGGAGGTGCCAACGACCAGTGGAATAGAGAGATGCTAGTGTTGTTGTCTTCGGGATTCCGAGGCGAGAAGAGGAAGCATTAAGAAAAGTGTAGAGACTTCCCACAGGGGACCAGTTATCAAACCAAAAGCAAGTGCTCTCTCCATTCCCAATGCGACGTTTAAGTAGCGGATAAAGGTGATCTCGAGCCTTAATCATTTTGTTGACTAACCAAGAGTAGTTAGTGCTGGTTTTAGTCGTCCAGTAGTTTGATATGTCACCTCTCAAAATAACTTCTTTGAACCAGCTAACCCAGACCGATTTCAAACGAAAAAATAGCATCCATATAAGCTTCAGTAGACAAGCGAGGTTCAAGGAGTGAAGATCTTTAACACCAAGACCTCCTTGATCTTTGGTAAGGGTAACGGTTTCCCAACTTACTCTAGCTGAATGGTGTCCTTCACTACTTCCTTTCCATAGAAAAAGACTACACATGGAATTAATTTTGTTGATACACGCCTTTGGCAGGATAAAACTGGAGCACCAGAAAGTGGATATTCCAGATGTCATTGTCTTTATCAAAAGTAATCTTCCAGCAAAGGACAAAGCTTTAGAGGACCACGAAGAAAGGCGTTGCTTGACATGCTGAAGAAGCGACTCACAGTTCTGAAAGTTGAGCTTTTTTGTACACAAAGTGACCCCAAGGTAACACATAGGTAGGCTTCCTCATGGCATACCAGTCGATGCTTGTATAACTGCAATTTCAGGATCCGAGAGACCCGAGGCAAAGAAAGTAGACTTTTGAAAACTCACTGCTAGACCTGACCGTTTTTCAAAATTGTGCAGAATTTGGAGCACTCTATGGACTGATTCTAAAGACCCATCAATGAAGATTAGAAGATCATCAGCGAAAGAGAGATGAGCTAGCTCGTCTTATGGCACTGGTGATGGTAAGTTAAGTGTCCAGTCCTTGCTTCTTTATCCAACATTAACGACAGGTAGTTCATAGCTATGACAAAAAGGTAAGGAGAGAGAGGGTCTCCTTGCCTAAGTCCTCTTTTGCCTTTAAAAAACCCGTTAACCATGCCATTATAACCAATCATAAATGTTGTTGTGCAGATACAAGCTTTCAGCAACCGAAGAAAGGGGGCAGGAAGGTGTAAGCTTTCAAGTGCTTAGAAGAGGAAGTCCCATGAGAGAGTGTCAAAGACTTTAGCTTTATCAACCTTTATGGTAATCTTATTACTCCCTTTATTCTTGTGGTAGCCATTCACAAGTTCGCTGACGAGGACAGTGTTTTCTACTAGCAATCTTCCCTCAACAAAAGCAGTTTGGTTGGGCAATAACAGATGTTGTAGAATAGGCTTTAGTCGTCTCACTAGGAGCCGAGAGATGACCTTGTATAGTGTGTTCAAGCATGAGATAGGACGGTAGTCTGATATTCTAGATGCTCCCGTGAACTTAGGAACCAAAGACAAGATTGTTGAATTGGTCGTATTTGGCAGGAATCCAGAATTGAAAAACTCTTGTATCAAATTGATACATTCAGCACCATGCAGAGACCAAGAAGCTTTAAAGAGCCATGAGGTAAGTCCATTCGGACCTGGAGCTTTATTTGGGTTGAGGGAGAACATTAGTTTAGTAATTTCTTCTGCTGTTGGCATCAGGAGGATGGATTGAACCTGGTTCTGGCTGCAAATGAATGGAGTAAGGCTATGAAACCGGTGAGTCGGAGTGTACCAAAGCGAGGGAAGGAGAACAGGACTAAGGACAGCTTTGAAGTGAGAAATTGCATGTTCACTCATCTCCATCGGATCAGTAATGGTAACACCTGACAATAGGAGGAAAGATCGGATGGCATTGAAGCTAGCTCTGACTTGACAAACACGATGAAAGTAGGTAGTATTAAGATCTCCTTCTCTAAGCCAAGTTATCCTTGACTTTTGCATGAAAAAACATTCCTCGATTTGCCTCAGGAATTGCCATTTTAGGTTAAGCTCATGTTATTCCGCAAAAGTTTGGGTAGTAGGATCCGTTAACGCATGTACCTGCGCAAGTTGTAGCAAACAGTAAGTTTCATTAACTCTTTGTTGGATATGTGAGAAATTTTCTTTATTAAGTGTTTTAAGATTCCTTTTTATGCTTTTCAGCTTCCAACACAGAGACGCAAGGTTCGTAGACACACTTCCCGCAAGCAACCAAGCATCCGTAACAACTTCCAAAAATTGCGGGTGTTATGAGACTAACCTCTGAAAATGTGAGCTTCTGAGCTTTTCCACAAAATAGAGGTCTTAACTTGTAAGAATATTGTGTGTACCAGGCCAGTTATCATGGTTTACTATATATATGTTATGTAGATAATATGTACAGCTGAACTAAGAATATCTACATGAAAAAAAATCTCATGAATATCTAAAGAATGATGAGATAAATATATAAAGAAATGAAAAATAGGAAAAATGTTAAAGAGAGGTTTTCTAAAGCCATTTGTCCATTTCCTGAATGACTTATTTTTCTAAATAAATAAAATCTAATTATTTACTTGTGTCATATTAAAAATAATGAAGATTTATTGTTAAAAAAATGAATAAGCATGGTCCAAGTATTTATCTAGCAACTACATTTAATATCATTATACCTTATTCATTGTTTATTCAGATTTTCATTATAGAACATTAGTGATAATTAGCCATAGTGATATTTCATCACTTAGAGTACCTCCATTTTCATGAATTATTTATATAATTAAAGTTTAATTTAAAAATTACATTATTCGTAGAGAAACAAAATGTTAAATAAATTATTTAGACAAACCTTATATGATAACTTCTTCTCATAGTTACTCTCTTCTTTTTATTATTTTGATTATAAATATTCATACTAGATGTTGCTGGATTTTATTAAATATCATTGTCTTACTTCTCAATCAACATAAATAAAATTACTTCATTCACCAAAGTCTGATACAAACTTAACATTCAAAATACACTTAGCAACACCAAAATGAAAACATAAATAAATGAGTATTATCACTCTTATTTTATTATTGCAAGAACTCAACACACAAAACCACAAGGACCACCAAAACCATCAGCTTAGGCCGGGGGCTTGGCGAATATCTTCTTAGCGAACTCAGCTAGCTTAGCAGTGTCGGGCATGACAGGTTTGACAGCAGGATCATTACAGAACTGTTCAGCCCATTTGGACAGAGAAGGAGTCTTGGCCTCATCAACAAGTTTATGACCAGATAGCAACTCGGTGGCTCTCAACCAACCCAAGAAGGACCCAAACGCAATGTCAAGGTAACCGATGTGTTCACCGTTGAAGAACGCTTTTCCTTTGCTGCAATCAATGAAGGCCTTCTCGATGAACGAGTTCTCTTCTTCCACTTGAGCTATCGCTGCTTTCTTCTCTTCTTCTCCCTCAGCTTTTAGGATACTTCTTAGAGACCGGAACCACTTCATTCATGTTGAATATGGACACATGTAAACCATAAAATTATTTAGTGACATGACATAACAAATCTTTAAAATAATACTCCTTCCGTTCCGCAATATAAGATGTTTTGAAGAAATTTTGATGTTTCAAAATATAAGATGTTTTGATACTTTTAAGATATTTTATTGAAAACTGATAAACCAATTACATTTTACGACTGTTATCTTTTTTTTTTTGAATAATTTGTTTAGGGGTGCAACACTTGTACTTCTCGGGAGTTTAATCTATGTTTAGTTTATATTAATTAATAATATTATCTTCTAGCAATTTTTTCTAGGGTCACCCATCCTATGTTATCTATGATTGTTTAATCTATGTTTAGTTTATATTAATTAATAATATTATCTTTTAAAAATAAGTTTTTTAATCTTTGTGCCTTCAAGCAAAACATCTTATATTAAAAAACGAAAGGAGTATAAATAAAAGATCTTGCAGAGGAAGTGAAAGAAGGGAACCTTTTCGTCAAGGTAGGAAGCCCAAAAGCGAGCGATGGCTCGGTCATAAGGAGTGGAAGGTAGCAAGGACGGTCCAGATGTGCTCCAAGTCTCATCGATATACTCAACGATGATGCTAGACTCACAAACCGGTTTGTCACCATGAAGCAGAACTGGAATCTTCTTCTGAACCGGGTTTGATTTAAGAAGCAACTCGCTCTTGGAACCAAACGTCTCTTCCAGGAACTCGTAGGGAATAGACTTGAGGTTCAGAGCAACCCTTGGCCTCATCACAAAAGGACTCGCCCATGCGCCGATCACCTTCACTTGCTCGCTAGCCATTTTCTTCTCAAGATACAGAAAACAGTGGAGTTGAGTACAATACGTTGAAGCTTTTGTGATGGATCAATGGGCATTATATGCAAGCAAAGAGGGGTAGGTAAGGCCGTAACGCAAGGGGATTGACGTGAAGATATTATTGAAGAATCACCACTTAAGTTTGACACGTGTCATAAACAGTTGGGAAAACGTTGAAATGTTGGTCCATCACTTTACTAGGGGCAAGCGTTACATGATGAGTTATTCTTGCATTCAATATGATTACATTATTTCATATTTGATAGCTTAAAAAAAAAACAAAATCGTATTAAGTTATATTATGTTTTTAAAAATAAAAATACAGAAATAAATAAAAATAATAATAATTAATAAAAACAAAAAAAATTAAAAATAATTTTTTAACACTAAACACTAAAATTTAATCCTAAATCATAAACCCTTAGATAAATCATAAACCTAAAGATAATTTTTAGTATAAAAAAATATCTTAATGAAGATAAACCTTCTGATAACTTTTAATCCTAAACGAAAATATTTTGTTTCCTTTTTAAAAAGATATCAAATATGAAATAAATCTTCGGATAACGATCGTCTTAATGAAGATAAACATTCAGATAACTTTTAATCTTAAATCATAAACCTTCGGATAACTTTTAATCCTAAGCGAAAAGATTTTATCCCTATCACTTCGGATAAAGATATCTTAATGAAGATAAACCTTCGGATAACTTTTAATCTTAAATCATAAACCTTTAGATAACTTTTAATCCTAAATGAAAAGATTTTGTTTCCTTTTTAAAAATATATCAAATATGAAATAATATAATTCTATTAGATGGTGAACCAAAACATTTACTAAGGGGGTGAACCCAATAATAAATCTTACATATTTTGTTCGCATGCCTTGCGTGAACTGAACCCAATAAAACTCTAACAACTTACATATTTTGTTCGTATGCCTTGTGTGAACTGAACCCAATAAAACTCTAACAACTTACTCACGTGGTATGCCTTGCGTGAACTGAACCCAATAAAACTTTAACAACTTACTCACGTGTTTCACATTTGTGTTTCATGCATAGATCGCTTTCTCTCATTGGGCCATTTAAGAGCTTTGTACTTGTATAATTACTAGATGTTCACTTGCACCATGTTCAATAAGAAAAATGAAAATATTTTTTTAACAGATACAATATAACTATATTTAAAATTTAAATTTTATTAATATTATAAATTTTCTTTTTCTTATCATTATTTTAATACAAAATTTTATTTAATTAAACATAAAAATAATAGAAAAATAATTTTTTATTTTAAATTATATTCAAGAATATGCATGTATATATTTAAAATTTTAATCTTAGATAGATTTTTTATCTATTTATTTTAATTAAATATATTAAATAATTTGTAGAAAATTTGATAATTATCAAAAATTAAAATTAGACAATATTTATTAAATTTGTAAATATATAAAAAATTAATAATTTTATGATTAAATTTTAATAATTTTCAAAAAGTTATACATTTTTGAAAAGTTTGTAATAAAATTATATAATTTTAAAATATATAATAAAATGATATTTTAGAAATTTATAATGCTATATTGAATATATTAATTTTAATGATGATTTATGAGTTATTACCATATTTTGAAAATATTTCCAAAAATATAAATCGACATAAAATCTAATATATATTTTATAAAGTTTTCCAAATTATGTTTAAAGTTAAAATTTTATTAATATTATAAATTTTCTTTTTCTTATCACTATTTTAATACCAATTTATTAACTAAATATAAAAATAATAGAAAAATATTTTTGTTTATTTTAAATTATATTTAAGAATATGCATGTATATATTTAAAATTATAATCTTAGATACATTTTTATCTATTTATTTTAATTAAATATATTAAATAAATTTGTAGAAAAATTTATAATTATCAAAAATTAAAATTAGACAATATTTATTAAATTTGTAAATATATAAGAAATTAATAATTTTACGATTAAATTTTAATAATTTTCAAAAAAGGTATACATTTTTGAAAAGTTTGTAATAAATTGTATAATTTTAAAATATATAATTAAAAGATATTTTCGAAATTTATAACGTCATATTTGAATATATTTATTTTAATGATGATTTATGAGTTATTACCATATTTAAAAATATTTCCAAAAATATAAATCGACATTAAATCTAATATATGAGTTGTTACCATATTTTATAAAGTTTTCCAAAAATATATATTAACATTAAATGCAATTGTCCATGTCATATTTAATCATATGTCATGTCATCAATTCTAGTAGACATGTCATCATTTTTTTTGTGAAACTGATTGTAGAGAGGACATGTGGCAAAATCACTTCGCAAATAATATATAGGAGAAGTTAACACTTCCTTCCTTTTTTTAATATTTGAAGTTTTAAGATTATAAACATAGATTAAAAAATATTTTATTTTTTAAATAAAAACATAATAAATTGTTTTACTTTTTTTAATAATGGAGTGTTTTGACCTCACCGAGGTAGTCTAGACTAGAGATCGAAATGAGCAAAGGCACTACCACAGCGTCACTATGTGGTTTACTGTGAATAGTCTTCGGTCTCGGGTGCTGGAAGGTCCACATGTAAATCCTCTAGTAACTGTATTTCGAATCCAAATGACAAAACTTACAGCTGTGAATCTTTTACTACCAGAACTAAAAATCCCTATTATGATTAATTATTTATCTAATCATAGTTTAATCAATAATACAACAAAACTATTATATCATTAATTATTAATAAATTTTACATAGAAAATTGAAAATTTCAAATAATTTGGAAAAAAAGAATTTCTAAAACATCAAATATTAAAAAAATGAAGAAATGTATATATCTCTTGGTTTTAACGATTTACGGAGAAACAAGTGAAACTCTATATTGAATTTTATAGATACGATTATACAAATCTACCAGTCGAGTATTCACTTATCCAAACACCTCATATATATATTCTCATGTAGTAAATACTTCATGCAAGTCATCATTTGATGCTGTTTACTATATGAGAATATACAAATCTACCATTCGAGTATATCAATTTTTTTGCTCTATATATAGTATGTACATTGAATATTTGTTTTGGATAGTCATGTTTTCTATATTTACTTTTTTTCCTATAACTTTTAAGATATATTTTAGTTAAATTTCATGAAATAATTAAGTATTTAACAAAATAACAAAAGAAGATAGATCGAATGAAGTATAGTCTAGTAGCCCTTCTGTCAAAAAAAAAGTATAGTCTAGTAGCTATCATCAAATGTAAGCTAGACGTTACTCTTTTTTTCCATTTTATTCCTTTGTGATAAGTTTTCCTTACAACCATCTTTTTTTCATAAACTAAGTTGATCGGCTTCCAGAACAATACCTTGAGACGAATACCAAATACAGAATAATGCGTTTGCAAGATGCATCATATCTTCACTAGTTATAACTTAACAGATCATTATCATACAATGAATTTAAAACAAACTAAAGTTGAGAATATATTTTTGAGAAACTTTAACTTATCCTTTAGGTTTCTTTATTATATTCTGCTGAATCTATTCCCTTCTGCCTGCCCTTTTCCTTGGTTGGGTGGGAGCTTTAGGGTGAGTGGGCGCTTGACATTGATGATGCTCTGCAATTATGTAATATCTTCTAGGCCTTATTTTCTGGTTAGTTTGGGACACCTAAAGGGATTTCTTTTCAAAAAATACTCTTATTAGTTGTATTTTTCTATACACTTGACTACACTTTCAAAGGTTTAAGTATATATTATCATGCCAATTTACAAAAAGAATGAAAAAATATATATATATATATATATATATATATATATATATATATATATATATATATATATATATATATATATATATATATATTTGGTACTTATTTCTCAAAACGAGTCCGCTAGACCATCAATTTCACACACTTAGTAAGACTAATAATCATTTTAAGAAAGATATTAGTAAAGATATTAACTTTTAAAATATACTGAAACTATATTGTAACCATCACTAGTACTAAGCAGGCATAAACATATTTTGGTGTATGTAAATCAAGCATATTATTACTTTACAACGTATTCAAAGTCGAATGTTGTCATGAACAAAAAAAATGTATATTGAAGTCATCATATAATGCTGTAATCCACTAGGGTCTGATTTAAAATATGCAAATAGAAACCCAACCAAGAAATTCTATGAGTTAACACACAAAAGAAAAATTATATATACAAATACAAGAATATTTGTAAACATATATGCATACAAATGTAAATCTCTCTGCAAAATTCTATATATTCCTCCTCTTGCCATCCATATTATTAGGTTACATTCACACACTCGATTCATAAATAAATTCACATTGCTCTCTCCCTCTTTCTCTTAAACGTCTAGCAAATGAGTATGAATCACTCTTCTTCGACCTTATTCTTCTTTCTCCTTTTCTTCTTCTTCCTTTCGTCTCACGTCTCATCACAAGCCTGCCTAAAAACATGCGGCCAAATACCCATCAAGTACCCGCTTGGAACCGGGTCAGGTTGCGGTGACCCACGTTTCACACGTTACATCAAGTGCGACCCAGACCAACAGACTTTAACGCTCACCACCCACACAGGCTGTTACCCTATCACTTCCGTTGACTACACCAAGCAAATCATCTACGTTACTGACTCGTCAATGTCCACGTGTGCATGTACCCGACCCAGCCAGGGATTCGGGTTGGATTGGGACGCTCCGTTTTCTTTCCACGACGACACCGTTTTCACGCTTCTTGACTGTGCTGTTGACGAATCCCCTGTTTTTAAGCCGTTAAGTAACAGTACTGGACGGGTCTCACTATGTGACCGTCAAAGCTCCTCCATTTGCAACTTCTTGTACTCTAATTGCAGGTAAACCAAAATCCCCCTTTAACCAATATAAATTAAACCAGGCCACTGGTTCAATCTAAACCGAAATAATTTAAATCAGTTTCCCAGTTTTTTTCTTGGAGATATCACATAAGAGATGGTCTAAGTAAGTTATAAGATTATTAAAATGTCTAAAAACTATATAATTCTGGAAAGAGTACACAAATTTGACTTGTAAAGGGCCCCGGTTTACTATTGATTTTTACTTACCCGGTTTAATTTTCCGGTTATGATAGGGCCATTAGTCTAATAAACCTCCAAGAATCAACGTGTTGCGTCTACGTACCTCTAGATCTCGGACCATCGTTTGAAATGGACTTACAGAAACTCAGGTGCTCGTCGTACTCCGGTTTCTACAATCTTGGTCCGGCCCAAGAATCTCACCCTGAAAATTGGAACTATGGAATCGCACTAAAGTACAAGTTTAACGTCTTCGATGAGTACCCTGCCGTGTGTGGTGGCTGCGAGCGTAGTAACGGTGCTTGTGGATACAACACTCAGACTAGCTCCTTCGTTTGTAACTGTCCTGGTGGGATCAATACGACGTCAGATTGCTTCTTCCTTTATAACTCGGGTTCTATTGTTCTTCCTTGGTTCTCAAGTAAGCCCCACTCTCCATAGTCCATACTATTTCACATATTATCTTAGGCTCTTAGCTACAACTTCTTTATTTCCAGTCAAATTTCGTTTCAAAAGAGCTTTAACAAGAAACTTGAATTTTGAAGCCTTATTTTAAATGAAGTATTTTGATCTAGCTTACATTCATTAGAACTTATTTTTACTTATAATTTTGGTAGAGTATTTGCCTTACATATTTTATATAATTTTCTTTATATAAGCAGGAGCATGGATGATGTACCCTTTGTCATGGGTTGCTTTTTGGACAGTGATGAACCTTCCTTGAAGGAATTTGAATGGTTCGTAGATAAAGTTTAATGAATGGAATCTTTGCTGCTTCTTTCTACATTCTTTGTGATAACATCATGTGACAAGATTCTCTATTGGTTCTCTGTGATATCAAGGATGTAATGGTACGTAGATTAAAAAGACTATCGTTTCACATAAAGTAAGAGATACCAAATACACAAATTCAACAAGAGGATAAACTACATATAACGAAGTCTGTAAGAACGGTTTAGAAGACACACACAACAGATAGAGATGGGTACTATTTCTTACTGCACAACTCCAACATTCAAACAGAATTAACACTGAGATGAGACTTTAAGCTTCATCTTCGTCTTCATCATCGAGCCTATAGGAACTAAAATGATCGACCCTAAACTTCCACTCGCCTTTAACAGGATCAAAAGATACAAACTCAGCTCCTTGTGCTTCAGCTTTCCTCTTAAGCATCATCTTATACTTCTCCACTCTCTCTCCTTCAGTAAACTGTTTCCCTGTTTTCTTATCAATACATTTTATATTAAGTAACGTCACCTCCGCCGGTTTATTCAGCCCTTGTCCAACCGCCGGTTTCTTGCTCTCGTCCAGGTATACAATCACTTCTCGGTTATTGAACTGAACCAGAGATTCTAAGTCTAGCTTACGAACATCAGTCTCTCCCATGAACTTTATGCTCCCATAACCATGTCTTCCCACCACAAAGTCTTTAACCCGCCTGCAGTAACCAGGATCCGCTCTTTCCTTAGCCGCTAGTTCTCGGATACTTGGTTCGGTGAAATAATCGGATTGGTGTAGCTTCGGCAATAGCGTCTCGATATCTGCACCGTTCTCGTTAACAGTTGAGGCTTCTCCGGCTTGGTGTCCACCTAGTGTTCTGGAGGGACGGTCTTTCATTCCAGCATGCTCTGTGCTTGTTGAGCCGTTTGGTTTCGTATCTCCATTGACAAATGGGTGAGTTCTTTCTTCAGTAGAACCAGATTCTCCGTTGTCATTTTCTGTAAATATTTTCCCTCGAGTCAGTCAGAGAATGGTCCAAACATGGCAAAACATAATGAAGCATTTTTTTGACATATGCATATTTTATATACTTACTGTCATGGTTTGCCGCATCAGTAGCTATTTCTGGACTCTTCCCTGAAATTTACAGACAATTTTGTCAAAAAGAGCCAGGAATCATTGAACTCAGTAGTCAGAGTACCATTTTCGTGGTGACATTTTCTAAGATTTGAACAAAAGCTTACCATTTTCAAATAGTGGAGCAGTCGGGCGGTCCCTTGGAATTGTAGATTTGACCCTTGAAGACCACTGTTGAACTGGGCGTATAACTAGAGCTCTAGGGTTCTCCCTCGGAATGAAAAGAGCATCTGCCTTTGGTGTACTTGAGGAGTTCTCCTCGTCATCAGTGAAAAATGGAACCTACAAAGACCATGTTAAGATTTAAACATGTAGAAAGATCATGTAGCACCAACATTAAGATCTGAGTAAAATATAGTGTGAGCAATAATTCACAAGACAGAAGCATGCCTTCGGACCATTGTCGCCAGGACGGTACTTTCTTGCCGGCAACCTGGTCCGCTTTTGTAAAAGGTGTCGAGAAGTAAGGAGAGATGATATTCTAACAGGAACAGGTTTGTCAACAACCTGGCAGGAAAAGAAACAATAAGAACAAAGAAGAAAATGAATGAAATGCCCAAGAAGGAACTGAGTAGAAAAACTTTCAGGTATGACAATAGTTAATTCAGAAAGATATCAAACTCTGAGGTATGACTTTGATTTAAAACTTTAATTTGTGAACTGGTAAGCATCGATGACAATACTTAATTTAGTAAAATATCAAATTTCTACTAATAAGTTGACTACTTGATTATATTTTGGAAAAACCGAGAGTTAAAAGAAAATGCACGATCTGTGTGTTGCCGAAAGAAGAGTAGGCTTACAGGCATGCTGGAGATTCCATATTGAATTGAAGGTGAAGTTCCACTTTGGTTTATTGAGATCTGAGGCATAGCAGGAAGTGTTCCAAATGGATTTGTAACAGCAACTGGTTGCAAAACAACAGAGCTAGGCGGAGCAGACCTGTCAACAAAAAAAAGGATAAAAATTGAAGCACCAATAGAGCAAAACAAAACTTCCCCAAAACGAAAGTCCTGCAAGGACTGATGTCAGAAAGACCATACGTTTGCCCGAAATTTCCTTGACCAAAAAACCCCAGTCCACCAGCATTTCCAGTAGCATTAGCTTTAGACCATGAATATTAAGAGTTAGCATCTAGAAATAAGATGATAACTTCAGTGACTTGGTCGACAGGGTACCTGCTTGTGTTTGACCGAAGTTGTTGAAACCAAAGCCATTTGACGCTTGACCTGGCTGAGATGATTGGAAAGGTGTCATACCAGCAGCCTACAGAAAAAAAGTTCAGGATTAGAAGGCCTAGATCAGATCAAAAGCGAAGTGCAGTAGCGGGCGTCAATGAAGAGAAGCAAAAGAACGACCGATTATGGAGAGAACAGGCATCACAAAAGAAATGGGAAAAAATAACTAAGTGTTTGGGTTTAAAGACGAATTCGAAAAATGAATCACCATTGTTTGTCCAAAGGGAGAGCTGGACGTAGTTAATGTTGAAGAACTTGAAAACAAGTTGCCAAATCCAGTGGAAGGTTTACTGAAGATGTTAGTTTGGCCAAATGCAGGAGCACTACTCTGTCCGAACTGTCCAAAGGCAGAACCAGTCTGTCCAAAGGCAGAACCAGTTTGCCCAAATGCAGAACCAGTCTGTCCAAATGCAGAACCAGTCTGTCCAAATGCAGAACCAGTCTGACCGATCGAGGGGTTTGAGCTGAACAGATTAGATGACTGAGTGTTCCCAAATGTAGGCGCTGCCCCCTGAGCAGAAGTTGAACCAAATATTGATGGAGAAGAACCAAATCCAGGAGTGCTAGACGAACCAAATAACGGTGATGAGGTCGTTGTTCCAAAAGCGGAGGATGATCCAAAGACGGATGTGGTAGTTGATGAGGTTGACCCAAAAAGATTGGACGACGAAGTTACACCAAAGGGCGAGGAACCAAAATTTGAGGTAGCCGTTCCAAAACCTGAACTGGCAATCGTTGGAGTTTGAGGGGCAAAAGGATTAGTAGACGTTGAGCTTGCAAAAGGGTTTGTTGGATTTGCTGGTGTCTGACCAAACGCCGGTGATGGAGAAAAAGGATTTGGCTGAGCAGTTGATGCACCAAATCCAGTATTTCCAGCAGACTGGCCAGCAGGAAGCGGTCCACCTGAAAATACAGATGTAGAGAATCAATCTTTGTTAAAAAAGTACAAGAATATAGCGTTAAGGAGAAGTAATACAAGATCTGTTTGATCAAGTGTACCTTTATCTCCTCGCTGGTAGTCTTCCCACCTTAACTCCTCATGGCTTTTATCTTTGTATGCCTGCATGGCAGAAATAGATTCTAACTTTCCAGCAGGCGCACCACTGCCTGTCTCTGTCTCAGCTGTTGGTGCATAAGGCACGGCTCGACTGCCCCCTTGTTGTTGTTGACCACCGAAAGGTGATTGACCAAAACCAGAATTCCCAAATGTTGGGGTTGAGGCCTGCGCACCTACAAAACATATCATTCGAACATATTTATTCATCTTTTATTCAAATGACTAACACAACAATTAGTTTATACATGCTAAAGGGAGAACCTTGGGCTCCAAAGGGAGAAGGTGTAGACCCAAATGCACTGCTGCCAAACGCTGATGTGGATTGGCCAAAAGCTGGAGAGGAGCCAAAACTGAAGGATGTGGTGTTTGATGCACCAAAAGTAGGAGTACTAGATGCTCCAAAGGCAGGAGAACTGGATTGCCCAAAGGCAGGAGTACTTGATGAACCAAAGGCAGGAGCGCCTGATGCACCAAAAGCAGGGGTACTAGAAGCTCCAAAGCCAGTGTTGCCAAACGTGGTACCAGTGCCACCAAAGGCTGGAGTCGGTGAAACTCCAAATGCAGGTGTGTTTGTGGCGCCGAAGGCAGGTGTGTTTGTGGCGCCGAAGGCAGGTTGGTTTGTGGCGCCAAAGGCAGGCGTGCTTGTGGCACCAAAGGCAGGCGTGCTTGATGCACCAAAGGCAGGTGTGCTTGTAGCCCCAAAGGCAGGCGTGCTTGTAGCCCCAAAGGCAGGCGTGCTCGTGGCACCAAAAGGTGTGGATGAACCAAAATTGCTGTTCCCAAATGCAGGTTGCGATTGCTGCGCTGTGCTTCCAAAAGGATTTGACTGAGGCGTTGAGAATCCCAGAGGTTTCTGCCCAAAAGCAGAAGACCCTGAAGAAAAAAAGAACAAATAAAATAGCTTAGTCCCCAAATGCAAATGTGAAACTTAAAATATGGACTAAAGAAAGGAAAACAACAACAACAAAAAACTGGAGCAAATATCTAGAAAAACCAGCAGAAGCCAGAAAGAGAACACAAAAAGTGAACAGATATTAAATCTGGTAGTGACAAACATTCTACAAACCACAGAACTGGATACTGTACACTGAAACAAACATCGCACATAAATTATTTCAAAACCAATGGAAAAGTCCACCTCCTCAGGCATCCAGATATCCATGATATTAAAGCCAGAAAATACATTCATATCCAGGAAAAAAAACAATAAATCACAAAGAAAATTGACAAACCATGCGACTAAAAAACATATAAGGTACATACCACCAAAAGGAGAAGATGCTGGAGATGCGCCAAAGGCCGGAGTGGAATTCCCAAACGCCGGTGACGAAGAAGCTCCAAAAGTTGGGGTGGAGCCAAACGGAGAGGAAGCTTGAGGTGCACCAAAAACACCGGTTGAAGTGCCACCAAATATCGAACCCCCAGTCTGTGCACCAAAAGGCGCAGACGCCCCGAACGGTGTTGCTGGAGCAAAAGGATTACTACTACTTGTGTTACTGGTCTGACCAAACATAGATTGGGATTGGGACCCAAACGGGCTGGTACCAGATGACTGTCCAAAAGCTACAAAAACAACATTTCAGAAGGTAAATTTATCTTACAAAACAAAGAAATAGCAAAAAAAAACTATAAAACAAATAACGAAAACAGAAGGCTACAAGGAGTAAATATCACTTACGATTAGATGAGCCAAACATCTTCCTCTATTGTTCAGGCCACAGCCAAAAGAAAGTATATTGACTAGTTGTAGCTGGTAAAAGAAAACGAACTATTAGGGCAAAGACAAGAATGAAACTAAAAGCACATAAGCAACAGTGTATTGGAAAAAGCTGGTTTTATAATTCAAATGCTGCTAAAATTCAACATTCTCATGATATCAACTTTAATTTCGTTCGCGTGTGAGGAGATGTAAATGAATCTCCACGCAGATAACGAACCTCTAAATAAACAAGGCAACATCACATAATATAGAAATTCAGTAACTCAGTTATGCAAAAAAGTAATCGAGACTAATCGCTGATAGAAAATTCATTACAGAAACGCGCAGTAGAGCTATACAATTAAAACCTGGAGCTAACCTAAATTCCAAATTCATGAAATAACGATGTAAAAAAACTGGTCACACGCTTCTTCAATCAAAGAAATCTTGCCTCAAATAGAGCAAGAGAGGAAGCTCCAAACGTGGGAACTGTTGTCTGCGCGGCGGAAATTAGGGTTCAGGAGTGAAAATCGCTAAGAAGGGAGAGAAACGAATAGGTTTGGAAGTCGGATCAAACGTGGAGTGTATATAGATTACGGAGAAACTGAACCTGGAAATCAGAAGAGCTCGATCTGAACACCGGCGGAGTAAGGAGGAGCGATCTCGCCGGAAAACTGAAAGAGGCGACAGTTGCAAGTTGAAACTTGATCAGAGAGGGCGAAGATTTGGTGGCCTTCCTTATTGTTTCTTTCTATTATGACGAGGAGACTTGTCTACCTGCTTTGCGACGAGAGTACGATAAAATGCGATTATTCATTTCTTTCTAATTTCTAGTGTCATTTGTTTTTTATTTCTAAACTTTTTCCTACAAATTTAGTATTTAATACAGACTATATGTTATGGTCAATTTTGGGCCTGCGTTAAGCCCATATAAGGCGATGATGTCGGCCTTTGAATCTTAAACTAGGGTAGTCAACTGATTAGCTTCCACAAATCTAAACTAGGTTTACCAAATTAGCATTTCGACAAACGTTCCTCCATAGATTTATTTTTGTCAACTGAGATTAGCTTCCACCAAATAATGCATCCATCCTCAAAGGGTAGAAATATAAAATGAAGACTTAACATATGTTGGATAATTAAGAGATTTGAAATTTTTATATATTCACTTGAAAATCATCACCCTTTTTGTTAGGGTTCTAAAGGGATGCTTTTTTTTTTTGTTTCTTCTTTTACAAGGAAAAGAAAGAATGGACTATTATTATTAGTCATAGGAGTGTTCTTGAGTTAATTGATGATAGTTCATGAAATCAATCCCATTTAGCCTCACACAACACAGAATCTGTTCTGGTAACTCCTCTGGTTTGTTCCCCTGTTCATAACACACAACCGCTTAAGCTTGTTGTTTTTTTTTTTCGAAATCCATTACAAATATGTATGTAACAAAACCTACCTGGATTGTGAGGCCAACATCAAGAACACAGATCTTGAGTCTGTCTATGAATGCTTCAAACCCTTTCCGAGATATGTAACTGAATCTATGCATATCTATATCAACCTCAAAGTAATTCTCACCCTACAAAAGATTAACAACAAGTCCATTAGTTATTAAGCACATATTTCAATCAAGAAGAATAGTTAAAGAGTTACCGTGTAGAACTCGTGCTGTGGACGGGAGAGAACAGGCTTCTCATTGTAAGCCTGCATCAGCTTCTTCTCTGGACCACTCAAATGGAGATCATCTACGTTTGCAACACGTCCCAATATCTTTAGCCGTTCTCTGAAAGATGCGGTTGTATCCATAGGGAATCCTTTAACTTTCTCAACCTCATCATCTATTAATCTCTGCACCAAAAAAAAAAAAACAAAAGACCATGCAGTTCAGTACAACGAGCACCATAAAGATGAAACTAACCAGCCGAGACAAGCTTTTAATTTACCTGAATACTTTCTTGAAAATGAAGCGGGAGTTCCTTTTCATAATTATCAGAAAGTTTGAAGTATAAAACAATATTCATTCCTTCTCCATCAGTTTCACCTTGAAAGATTGTAGTTGGATACAACGGAATCTGTTTCAACGGATGAGCAAAGACAAAACAATCACGGGAGATTCCAAAATAAGCTATCAAGCAGAGAATTAGTTCATACCTGAACATTTACGATAAGAATAGATGGGAGTTTTGTGGATGTGGTAGTAACAGGAAGCTTCACATATTGTGCGACATGGCTTATTTTACGTTCTGACAAGAAAACATCGACACCAAAAGGATTATACGCAGCATGACTAGGCGCAAACTCTTTCTTCTTTTCTCTATAACCAAAGAAATGAAACAAAGCTTCTTGTTAAGATGGTTACAGTTGTAACCATTAGAGTAAAATCAGTAATGGATTACCTTAAATAAGTTTTGCCACGAACACGGAAGCTATTTGGCTCAATAGTAGACCAACAATCAAGCATTTTCTTGTCAACTGGACAGAAAGGAACCTGAGAACCAGCTATTGGTCTCTTCAACTGCATTTTAGAAAGAACTGAAACAAGTTTTGAGACAACAAGTAAGTTCTTGACTGTCATCAACTTGCCAGATCCAATGCAATCAAGTTATGTACTTACACAAGGCCCCTGAAGCATGACCTTCTCTCCATTTGTAAGATAGTCTAAGAGAAGCTTTTTTCCTAGAACTTGGAGGGCTAGAGCTAAGAGCCCTTCTTTTATCAACACAAGGAACAACAGATATTGGATTCAGACAAGGCAAACAGTTACTCGGCAAGATCCTGCAATTCTCCAAGAGCCCTCCTCCTCCTCCTCCTCCTTCATCTGCAGATGAATCTATGGAATCAGGCTGCTGCTTTGTGTCGTTCAAGCCACTCTCTGACTGCGAATTGGCTTCGTTTGAGTCAGAATCTCCTTCTGTTGATGATGTGGTCATACTACTCGAGACTGATACACGCTCACCTCCGCCTAAAGACAAAGCATCTGAAAATGAAAAACAGAAAATCCAAAGAAATGAGGATGGATAAAAAGAGATAAAGCATATAGCTCCTAGACATGAGGATACGTAAATTTGTACCTTCGTTGACGCTGTGGAAATCATCGTCACAATCTGTTTCAAATGCGGCATTTGACTCAAACCATGCTTCTTCTCCACTTCCTGTTGACAATAACATGATAGTATCAAGTAACACGTTTCTTCTCTCTAACGTCAATTAAATAATAAACATCACATGAAATTTACTGAGTAATTCGTCAAAGACATAAGAGGTTTGATCAATAAAACAAAGGTTTTTAATTACAAAAAAAAATGAACTTTTTTATTACAAAACAAAAGTTAGCAGCTTTGAAGAACTGTATAATCAGAATCTAACCCTAAAGATTCAGATACTGCAATAAATGAAGCATTTAGAGAAAACCCATGAATCCAAATTAAGCATCACAACAAAAAAGACGAAACCTTTGAAGACTCGCAAACGAATCTACGAAACAGAGGAAAAACAGAGCAAAGAAAAGAAATTGAGAGACCTCTGAAATTGGGAGTGGGCAAGTTGGTACGAGGATGATCGAGATTGTCAAAAGATCCGTCGGAGAGACGAGAAGAGGCGGCGGCGGTGGCGGCTGCTCTCTTCCTATGAAGCTTTCGTCTTTTACGACTCTTCCTTGGCTTGCTTGACTTCAGCTTCGATCCCACACAGCTTTTCGGCGTCGACACGCAACCTCCCATCTCTCTCTCTCTCTGTAGATTTGAAGAAAGCTACAATCTTTTTGCCATAGACGATGATCACCGGTTTTTCTCAGGAGAGAGAAAAAAAAAAGCTCAGAAATTTATGTAAAAAGAGTTACGTCTCTCTCTCTTTCTCTCTCCCTATCTCTGGTTTTGATCAATGTCTTGTAATAGAATTTGTTATTATGGAATCCACTATAAATGCAAAAAAGGCCAGAAATCTAGAGGTAGAGGAAAAGATTTGGGACAGAGACTAATTGTTTGGTGAAAGAAAAAGTTTCTTTTTTTTTTCTTTATGAAGAACAAACAAAATCAGAGGTATTTAACACATAATTATATAAAGGAAAAAAAAAGATATTATCTTTTTGTTGGGTATTTAGAGATTTGCAAAGTCAATTATTTGGGGGAAAATATCAAAGTGAGGAGTAGTTTTTTTTTTGTCATCAAAGTGAGGAGTAGTTAAAAGAGCAATTCTTTTGTAATTGCCTAATTTCTCTTTTGATTTCAACCATTGAAGTAAACCGACTTCTTAAACCGGATCTGATTTGGTTGCTAGGACTGGTCTGACCACCAACCTTGTTAGATTCAATTATCAGACTAACTATCACCATATGGAGTTCGTCAATCATTTTTTGGGTTATTAATACTACTGTCATACATAAATGGAACGAATGTCTTGTTTTTTTAAGTAATAACCTTGCAGTGAAACGTTAATGTCATTTCAAAGCAGAAAAATTGTGTTTGGTTTAGTCTTATGGATTGTGATTTATTACCTACGGCCAAACTCAATACCTACCATCAGAAAATAAATTTGTAAGGAAGTAAAACTTATCTTACCAAAGAAAATAAAATATCATATGTTGAAAATTTGAAATTCTACCAACTGATTTTATTTCTCACAAGAGAAAAAAGAAATGGTGATAAGTTAGGTTCCGATGTGACAATCTTAACTTAACAAAGAAAAACTAGCCATGCAAGAGAGTGTGGGTCATGTCTGAGCTAAGTTATGTGGCTTGTTTGAATGGTTGAGCTGCTAAGACTTGGTCGACGGAGTGATTGAAATTATTATTTTTGTAAAGACTTACAGAAACTAGTTCTTTATCAATATTTATATTTTTGTATTCTATCAGTGATGTGCTTTCTAATAATAAAAGCCTTGGTGTATGTATTCAGAAGTCGACATTTTAGACGTCGATTCTCCAAGACTGATTGTAGTGTCGACAACGGAAAGTAAAAAAGTGAGCAAGAGGCGTGTTTTTTTTTCGTCAACTGAAGACGTGTTTTATAGTAGATATGGAAAAGTTAGGAAAATTTGTGGAAGAAACTGCAAAGAAAATCTAAATTATTAGTAAAAGATTTTGATAATTTCATTAAAATTTATAAGAGCACCCCAGTGGAAATTTTCAATCTAAAATTCTCAAAATACATATATACATATATATATTGAGAATCTTTATTGGAGGTGCTCTTAACATATATAAAACACTGTATAGCATTGGAAAGAAACGTGATATGTTATATTATGTTATGCTATATGCAACCTCCAAATTACAGAACTTTGTGAAATCAGACGAAACAAATATGCGGAGTATATTTCAAACAATGACAATCCATTGTTACCATGAGAAGACACAAAAGTCTAAAATCATGACTTTTTGTATGGTTTTTTCAACCTATGGTCTATACATTTTTAGATATGTATTTAGTTAGGCACACGGGATCTTTTATTATATTATAGCATGAACTTTTTTCATCTCTCTAAAATCTGTGGCACTAAAGTCCTTGAGGAAATCATCTGTCAATATAAAATATAATTCAGTTTCAAATGCACTAACGAGAAAGATGAATACAAATAGTCAAATGGTTTGAACACATATACTACTACAAGGAAATAATTAATCTGGGTTATATGAAATTTTGAATTTCGAGGTAGAGTGTCATGAAATTTACAAAAGACATGGATGGTTGGTCCACCTTTCATTTGACTCTGACAATCTTACAAGTTACAATCTCTCATCTCCATGGACCCCCTCTCCATCTACATCTCTTTCCTTTATATTTCTCCAAAAAATGTTATACAAATGGCATGAATATAATCTATAAATTTCCAGACTTTCTACTTTACACGTTTCTACATTTCACAACAACCATACAAATGGTATGTAAACCTGGATAGTATTGTATGCCATCCATTAAGAAATGAAAGAAACATATTCTTGTTTTTTTATGTCGACATAAATATATTCTTTTGTATATAAATACACCTTTTTATCAAATACATTCGGTTTTATTCAAACCAATAATTCGCTATGAAATTGGATTGTCGTGTTGTGGTAATAAAATACAAAATAATAATAGTGACAGTAGTAATGAGTACATATGATGAACAAACATCACACGTGTGGTTGCTGTTTTTGGCAGAATCTCGTTGTCATTTCGATTTGTTCAGAACTGACGCTTTCATGTTCCACACACGCCTCGCAGACTTCCACAATCCTTATGAATTCTTTCGAAACAAACAAACAATTACATCTACAGGTGAATAACTAACTGTTCACAACTATATAATTCTTAGATCTTTTGTTGATTAAACTAAATTACGTTAGAAATATTTCCAAAGCTGCATCCTGATGAATACTACTGTACTAGTGTTAAGTTAATTGGCATATAACCATTTCTATCGTATATGTATAATGTGCGTTATACACATAAATGCGAGTCTACACTAAAATACATTTTGCTATATTAAAAAAGTCACGAGCAAATAATGATGCGAAACGACAACGTGACAGTCTTGTTATAGAGATGAGGGGCCATTGTGAATAGTTTGCTATTGCTTAAGGATTGTCAAATGTCACAGATTTTTATATATATGCATATAACTGCCCCACCACTTAATTATGCTGATATATAGAATACAATTACTAATTCTAAAATATAATTCCTGAATAGTTTAGTAGTTAAAGCATATACAAGTGTAAAATATTACTAACCGAGTAATAAATAGTTTTAGAATATATAGTTTCAAAGATAAAAAGTGAATTATTAAAGCCTCTATTGTGATGGTTCGTTGATGTTTCTTTTGAAAAAGATTTTGGTTTAAACTTCTGAATAATATTCAGAAGATTTCAAATGTCACAATAAATCTTTTGATTTGTAGTAGATGATAGTATATAACACAAGGTTTTAACCGGAATAAAAACACTATATAAATATTAAATTGCATTCGTCATATTCCACCCAAAATATCTATGTACCGGTAACCGGTCCATGCACAGTCTCTTGTTTGCCGAATAATTGAAGTGCCAACTACTAATAAGTATATTCCTCCCAGTATTTTGTATTTTTCTATTGCATTGAAGACGATTGGCGACGAAGTATCGACGTAGCAATTGATATTTTTGGTTAAAATGATATTAAACTTGTGGTGTTTCCTTTGTTGTACGTGGCTTTATAGCATTGAAAAAGCTCATTTGCCCAAAAAAAAAAAGCATTGAAAAAGCTCTATCTGCATTAAAGAACAGTCCATAGCCTTGTCCTTCCTACAACAGTCTCTGTGTTATTGACCGCAAATTGAGTGAAATGACTTCAACGTTCCAAACGTACGAACGCAGTGACTGTAAAACTATTTTGTGATTGTTAAAAAAAATATTAACTACGAAAATGGGTTTAATAACTGCAAGAAAGACGTGGAGCATTAAATGAAACGAGTGAAAACTTGTCAACTTTCCCAACAGAACCATCAATTTCACCAACTTCACTCACCTAGTGAAGTGATGAGAAACTTTATTTGGCTTATATCATGTGTAGACTATAACCTACTCTAGTCTTATAGATACCTCTGAAAAGGAAAACCAGGACGAAAATAAGTCTAAAAAACATCATAATTGATCTAGAAATACCACGTAAATAGAATCCTTAAAGACCATAGACTCATTTTTATCGGCTAAACATAGAAAGTTTCCATCAAAGATCTTAAATCTAGTGGTTACGTGCTCAGACCTGTATCGATAGTTAACTTACATTTACAAAAAGGTATAAATAAAGTTAACACAAACATGGAAAGTCACGTTTCCTTTTTAATTATTCATTGATGCCCTTTTCGAGCAATCCCGTAGATGTCCATAACATTTTTTTCTTACTTTTTTTCTGTCAGCATTTAATTTATTTACACAAACTTTGGATAGTTGGATCCAGCGATGAAATGAATGGTGGACCCCATGTGTGTATCGATGTTCCCTATAATCTTAAATACACCGCTTTAATAGAAACGTTTAACAAAATGACATGAAGTAATTTTCATGTGGCCCCAAATGCCATCTGATAAATTAGCATTAGACTACTACTAAACCTAGGTCACTAACAGCCAAGTGCTCTGCTCATTAACCAGAATCGTCACAAAACATCTATCTTTATTTCATAACACATAGTAAGATTGATTCAAATAATGGCGCATGCGGACAATGCTGGTTTAAACCATTGGATTACAATCTCCGGTTAGATATCTTCATCTAGAAAATGGATCTTATGGAGAAGGAAGAGTTTATTTAAAACGAAATTGAGAGACCCATAATATTCAATTTCCAATCTTTATGAAAATGTAAAGAAAAAGTACCTTTTCTCTACGTTTAGTTCATTGCGTGTGAGAGTAGAAATCCCATGTTCTTGTCGTTTTTATGACCCGAGTCCTAACTAGTCGTGTACAAGAGTATAACTATAAGTGATAACAATCACAAATCGTGATTATGATACACGATTAGTTGAGCACTCTGAATCAGGCTGATTCATTAACTCTTTGCATTTGTCCTGCCAAACACCGACAAATATATTCACTTATGGTTTCAAGTTTGTAATTACTCTATAAGCTATATGATATTACGAGGATGCTCATAAGAATCTAATGCAAAAGGTATTTCCAAGAATTTAAGATTGGTCGATGAAAATGCATTCTACACTAGCTGATGACTCATATTGTGAGGAAGTTGATTCTATAGAATGTCAGAGAACCCGGTGATATCACCCATTTATGTTTGGGCGTTTATTGCTAACAGTGACTTTAACTAAGAAACATAGAGAAAAGCGTTTTTTTTTTTTTACTTGCCTTGGTGTCAAAGTGCTCGTTGTTATTAGTATTCTGCCAATGACCACCGACAGTGTTATCAGCGTCCTGTACCAAACTGCAGCTTGTGTTTTGGTGATGACACAATGGAGGAGACGCTGATGAAATAACGTTTACTGCAAAAGGAAGTTGGAAATAAGGTTAGTGCAAGAAATTCATTGATCAAGGTAACTCTCTTCTGCCTATGCAGCAAGTTAGCTAGATAACATTCTCTTAGCATTCTATTACAAGTTCATACCTGTTTACATTGACAAATACTGAAATTTTGTACAGGACGTTATCGCTTTTGTTTCTGGATTGTGGTATAGCTTACAGGTGATATTAGATTCTAAGGAAAGGAAACAACAAGGCAATAAAAGAAGAGAACATACCTGAATTTTCTTGGGAACCCATAACAGGAGCTTCACATGCAAGTTCCTCCGTTTTCTCAACTGTATCATTGTACCTAGTTAGCCAATAAAAAGAAATAAGCTTTGATCTGGGCCATTCCCTATTCAAACTGAGACAGAAGGCATCTGAGATCATATCAAAGTCGAACCACAAGATAGTAAAGGTTCACTATATCATGTCATATTCATTAAGAAATTTCTGATGCAAACTATCTGGCCTTGGACGGTTGGACCAGTACCGAAATAAATGTTCTCAAACGATTGTACAAACCTGGAATGTTTGTTTGTTTCATCCGCACCTTGTTCAAATGTCAGTATTGATGTGAACACCCTTCTGTCCTGTCATATCAAGAGGACTTGAAGTTTCAATATATTCGTTTGAATTTGAAAATCACTAGACTAGTATCAAAGGATGAAATTTTAGAAAAGAAAAAAATGAATTTATCTCTCACCTCGTCGGTCATATGCGTGACAGATTCTTGAATCCGCAGTAAGATCATCTCTAGACTCCTCACTTCAGAATGCAATGCCTAAACATTAGAAATACAATTTATAGAGGCTGTTTCGAGGGTGTAAAAAGAATCAAACCCGTTAAATAACTAATAATCTCCTTTCCTACCTCCTTTTCAGAAATCAAGTTCTCCACAACTAAATCTTTGACCCTCAAAGTTTTCTGAAAGTAAGGCTAGTCAAGCAAACAAAAACATGGCAAGTACTTCAAAATTAAACATCTTGCACTAGTACCCTTGCAGTAAAAAAAATTTCAACTCTATTATGGATATCTCTTCAATTTGAAGTTGATATTCATTTTTCATCTTTGCTTCTTCCAGCTTAGCGCTAAGCTCTGATATTCTATTCTCCTTGCTCTGCAATTCTGTTTCTTGATATTCAATCTTCTCTTCTAAAGTGCTGATTCTCTCTGCATAAATAGAGATGTTAGAAAACATTGTCTTCATAAGGGTAACCATCACTGTCCAAGTAAATGAAGATGGCATGCCTTAACTTCATAGCGTCCTTACTGAGAAAAGAAGCTAGAGAAACTAACACACATCATACACGCTACTACAGGATCCATCAGTAACAATATAGTGGAACATTTCGCAAGACTTACATTCATATAAACACCTCGTTCACACAAGAGAGACCACAAGAGTAAAATTAACAAATAAGTTAACTCTCGAGAATTAGGATGCTGAGAAACTCACCAATGAATACTTTCTCATATGTAGAGACCTTATCCAATTTCTCTTTCAAGCCAGCCACTGGATACACAAAAACCGTAAACACATTAGTATCCTGGAAACATATCCCTCAACAAAAATAGAAAGAGATGAGGGATCTACATGCCTACATCTTCTTTTTGATCCACAAGGCCCTGAACTTCGTGAATAACGTTTTTGATTGCAGACGCCTCTTTCTCAATTGAATCAAACAATGCTAAGTGAGATGTTATCTTCTGGTGAAGGATGACAATCTTCCTATCCCTGGCGTCAACTGAACATTTCATTTCACTAAACGACTCCTGAAAACACACCACCACTTCACTAATCAAATTCACATTATTCCTAGAGTCAGAACGTATTCATAAACATAAAATTTCAACAAGCGAAAGCACCTGGTAAGCATTTAAGAAACTCTCTCGTGACTGAAGCAGGTTTTGAATAGTATTCTTCAACTCGTTCTGCTTGTTTTCCAGCAAACTATAGTCGTTCTGAAGGTAACTCACCTGCAAAAAAATTCAATTAAACTTTCACTGATTCCAATATCTTAAACGGTAATAGATTCGCAGAACAAACAAACCTTCCTCTCGAGTGCCTCCTGTGTTTCTCTAGAAGAAGCTAACTCAGATTCTAGCTCATGCACTTTCCTGATGTATTCCTCCTCCGTTTGCTTCTGTTTCTGTAACCGAAGCGCCATAATCAAACGATTTGACTCAGAAACCGCAATAGAAACAAGAGGACATGTACAGTAACATTGATTCGGTAACCTGACTGAGAAGATTGATGTGATCTGTGACTGATCGCTCCCTTTCCTGCAAAATCGCCGGTAATGAAGTGGAAGAGAGAGCGAAAAAAAACTACACAAACCATAGATATACAAAAACCTCTGTCGTCTTACACGTAGATCTCGAACTTCCCCGATCATCGACTGAAGTTGCCATTTGAATTTTGAGAGCTTGAGCAACTCCATTGTTGGATTGTGGATTCTCCTCGGATTTTGAATTTTCGCTCGCTATTTTCTCGAGAAAGTGTCGATTAGGTCGTCGGGATTCTCAAATCAGTTAATACGTGTAGTTGTCAGTGAAGCTACTTTGTTCTATATGGGCCTGACTATATATGGGCTTTAAGATTTTGACATTGTTGTTTCTATTTGTTTCTGATTAATGAGCAATTATATATTTCTGAATTATGATGATTAATCTGTTTAGATTATCCATTCTAAACATTTGGCAACATATACGTAGATGGAAATTTTTGTTTCATGACCCAAATTTTTTTTGTTGGAAATTCTGTTATCGTAATTGTTGCTTAAAATTTAAAATGTATAGTAACATTAACATATATCAGTTAAGATAATTTTAGAAAATCATATTTATTTTGTCCTGCAGAAACGGTCCTGAGACTAAAAGGACCCTAAACGATTTAGTAAAGGTTTTTACTTTTTTTCTTTGAATATGGAAATTTTTCATATAATTTTTTACAAAAAATTCAGGGATTCTGGGCCAATGTTTCATATGACTAACTATGCCGAGAACTGTCCCTTCTTGCATATGGAAGAATATACTAAACAAAACAATAATTTATTTACTATGACGTTAATAATTTATAAATTATCCATAATAACAAACCTAACCACATGATAGATATATTTATATGTTTTCTTGGTAGTTTCAGCCAAATATTTTTTCATAGTTTGATTGTTATGGAGTTCTGTTTGGTAAAATAAGAAAAGATTTAAAAAACAAAGAAAAGAGCAGAACAATACTATTCTTCCAAAGTAGTTGTTGTAAAAAATTACATGCAGATCAAGTTGAACTCGTGTTAAAGCTTTTAGTGTTTAAAGTTAGAGTTGGGAAAAATAACATTTCAAGGTCATTTCCGAAGTTTGCATCGTGAAATGACCACACACAAGTTCATGTATGTTGAAATAACAGATTCGATTTGATCTTTGAATAATGTCTTGTACTTAGCTTTTAGCCAACCTTTCCCTATATTTTTTAAGATATTGTTGAACTTATACTACGTTGCGTTAGGTAACTAAACTAACCACCTAACATACAGCCTAAAACAACATATAATATATGTCAAATAATAAACATTTTTCTATACATGTGTATCAAATGTGGCTATGAAAACACTACCTTTCACAGAAATTAAGCACGCGGAGTATTTGCTTCTTGTTCGTACTACTACTCGTGAATCATGATGTTAACACTTATCTTCACATTAGGTTACGTATTTTCCACGTGCCTAAATTCCTTTTGATTCGTATCTATCTGTAACTGCATATAAATTATTGTGACGAGACAGTAGCTCGGCCCGGTTGGTTCCCGTTCGGATTCATATTCTTGCACATGCAGATAGAGCATAGAATCTAAAACCTAGAAAGCAATCAACATACTTGTAAAAGAGCATCATATTTATATATTCCGTTTTCAAAACCAACTTAACATGAAGATCGATCACTATAACACAAAAAAAGAACACCATAGCAACCATGTTACCTATGAATGATAGATGGATTATATAATATAGGATACGTTATAAAGCTTCCGTCGCATTTGATTTTTAAGAAAAAAGAGAGGAGAGTTAGGCCAAACAGGCCTAACNCAAAACCAACTTAACATGAAGATCGATCACTATAACACAAAAAAAGAACACCATAGCAACCATGTTACCTATGAATGATAGATGGATTATATAATATAGGATACGTTATAAAGCTTCCGTCGCATTTGATTTTTAAGAAAAAAGAGAGGAGAGTTAGGCCAAACAGGCCTAACTCTCCTCTCTTGCTTGTTCACATAGTATGGTGCTTGTTCACATAGTTTGCTAGGAATATAATGGTGACACGTTTCAGATAATGATTGTGACTCTCAAATGTGAAAGAGGAAAGACAAACAGAAAGCTTTATACGGTGAGAATGAGGTGCCTAACGATCACTATTCATTACACAACAGAAATGGTAACAAGACAGTGAAGTGTTTGGCAGAAAATGCTATTCCTATTCTACAAGTCTTTCTCAACAATAAAGCCTTTGTCATCACTATTCCTTCCTTTTTGGTGTGGTTTTCTATTGCGTGTAGGTGCATCTAATTTCGTAATGTTAGGCTGCTTATTTAATCAATGCGGTGGTGGAGTTTAGAGCTTATTATGATCACAGCTAAGGGACTTATCATAAACTAAACACAAAATTTGAAGCATTGAATAAGCTGAAAGATTATGTTTCTGTGTTAAATACTCGTCTTCAGAGGATCCAATAGTTATAACTACGTATAAAATTTATAATTCGACGGAAACAAATGGAGACAGGTGGCTAGTACAAATGAAAATTCTCAAATAGTACAGTACTATTTAAAAAAAAACAAATAAAATAAAGGCAACAAAATATGAACAGCGTCACAAACTTGTAGCCATTTAATATATCATATTTGACTTAATAAAGGAGAGAAGAAAACATAATTTCATTTTAGTAGTTAATTAAAGCCCATAAAGATGTAGTAATGATCCTATATTTTTGGAAGAAATGAAAAATAGAACGTGAGATAATCTTGTTTGTTTAGCTAAACTTGGCATCATTAAAATCCACAAAACCATCCTTGTCAATGACTAATCAATGATTGATTATATGATTTCGTTACAGTTCATTACATAAACCCCAAACCGATAATTAGATAAAGCTAAACAAGTGATTAGACCAGACCTTTACTTTCCCATTTGTAACATACGTGGAAGCTCATGTGTGGGATAAAAGAATGGTTTAGTATAGTCCGCGACGCAGAGGATAATTAATAAAGCTGGGTCCCACAAAGAGAAAACCTCGCTATGAAGTGACTTGCCTGCAACTCTCGAGGTGAAAAAGGAAAAAAAGTGAAGAAGAAGAAATAAAAGAAGCAGACAGCTTCTTTAAAAATAAATAAATAAATAAAAAAGTCGGTAAATAAAACTTATAAAGAAAAAGGGAAAACGCGAAAGAGAGGAAGACACAAACACAGTGCGCATCAGACTCCACTGTCTAAGGAGAGATCGCATTCTCAACAAGTCACATCAACTCTCTCTCTCTCTCTCTCTTCTCTCTCTCGCTCTTACTGAGTCAACTCGGTGTAGAGAGTGTGTGTTTAAGTTGATATGGATCCGGGTGGGATGATGAACGAAGCTGGGACGTATAACCTAGCTGAGATCTGGCCTTATCCTATAAACGGAGGCGCGAGTAGTCATCATCCCTCGATGAGGAGCGGTGTGTCTTTCGGTGGACCTAACTTGGTCCATCAGTTTACTGACTCTAATCTGATTAGTAACATTAGCAATAGCGGTGATCCGGCTGGTATGAGCCACGCGCTCTCTCAGGCGGTGGTTGCAGGTATCGCTGGTGCTAGGAAGAGGCGGGAAGGAGGTGAGGATAAAGTTGTCTCCGGTGGCAACGGACATGATGACGCGGTAACGGTTTAATTTTCCATCTTCAAAAGATTGAGATCTTAGTAGTTAAGTGGTATTTATTGATTGTCTTTTAAACTCTTTTTAAGACGTGTGCTTAGTGTTGTAAGGATGTGATTTAATGTATAAGTACACTTGGCAATACTCTCTTTTGATGTTAGTGGTTATGTGTTTTGTGTGGAGCCTACAGAATGATGGGGAGAGTAAAAAGCAGAAGACTACAGGATGCGAAGATGAAGTTGAAACGGGAACATTGGATCAAAAGAAGCAGTTGCCTGAACCTCCGAAAGATTATATTCATGTCCGAGCTAGAAGGGGACAGGCTACAGATAGTCACAGTCTTGCTGAAAGAGTACTTAATTAACTCTTTCTTTAGATGAATACTACTCTTTCTAAGCTAAATGAAACTTGATGATGCCGAGAGACCAGACTTGGTAACAGAGTTTTTCTTGGTTTGCAGGCGAGGAGAGAAAAGATAAGCGAGCGGATGAAAATCTTGCAAGATCTTGTCCCTGGTTGTAACAAGGTATATCAAGCGGTCATGGTTTCTCTCTTCATCTGTGTCTCTTTTTGTAGTCACAACTATAAGCACCTGAATCTTTTTGTATGCTCAGGTTATCGGAAAAGCGCTTGTTCTAGATGAGATAATCAATTACATCCAATCTCTGCAGCGTCAAGTTGAGGTACTACCTTACTCCCTCTCTCTGTGTAACTGTTTATTGCTTGTGCATCTGACAAGACTACTGTTTCCAATTTTCAGTTCCTATCGATGAAACTCGAAGCAGTCAACTCAAGAATGACTCCCGGAATCGAGGTTTTCCCGCCAAAAGAGGTTATATGTTTTTGACAGTCTTTGTGTAACAATTATCCTCAAGATCCATTGTCCCAAATACGTCCTGCGTTATCCGTCTGTTGATATTCTTTGGTAGATCTATTGATGAAACTCAACATATCATAGTCTTTAGATATTACTGCGGTTAATTTAGCCAACCTCAAAACTTTTCTTTTCTCCTGACATCAATACTAACAAAGCTTTCACTGAATAACTTTCACGGCAATCTCAGTTTGATCAGCAAACGTTTGAGAATCCGGGGATGCAGTTCGGATCACAAGCTACAAGGGAATACAGCAGAGGAACTTCACCGGAGTGGCTGCATATGCAGGTAGGAGGTGGTTTCGAAAGATCATAGTAATAAGAAAGAAAGCTGCCACAACATTCACTAAATAAACTTCGGTCTCCAATGTTAGTTACGCAAAAAAGAAGCAGCATACGTATAAACATTTATAAAATATATAGAAAAAGGTTTATTGTTATAGATTCCTAGTTTAGACATGAAGTAAAGCGGAGGTAGATTGTGTGATAATTTCCTCTGTTGCTGTCTCAGAACATGTTAATAACTGTTTAAGCTTTGTTCACATGATTTTCTCTGTTTTATCTTGTGTTGTAATCTATCTAAGGAAAGGTTTGGTCCTCAACTCTCTCTCTACAAAGCATTGATTCACATTTGGAAAGTAGAAAGATTTCGATTTAGGGAACTTTGAATCAGTATCAAACTCATATTTTATAAACGAAACTGAAATGAAAATGGCAGGAAGGTTTCGGAACCTCATTCTTCTATGTAGTAACAAGTGGAATGAGAAGACACTATTCTATATATAGACGCTTCTCCTACAAACTTTGTTCTCAGCAATCACATCAACAACAACAAAAATGATGTTTTTTTCTTTTTTTTTGAGGGAAACTCGAACTCAACTTAGAAAAAAAAATACAAAAATAAATCACAAAAAATAATCAGGGGTCTTACGGGTAGTATCTGGTTCGACTTGTCTTGGAGCTGGATCAAACTGAAGGAAGTTCTGCTCCATGTTCTCACTTATCTCTAGAATGGCTGCCATGTTTCCACACCGGTAGCAATAGTTTGGTGCACTAAACACCGTCACCACATTCTTATCCTGTTACCAAAAAAGAAGAGAGATCAATGATTCAATCCATAGTAACAGTTATTTCTTAAAACCTTAAGCAATCGAGATAAATATACATACCTGACACCAGTTAAAACCTTCCATGACAAGCTGATGTGCTCTTGATATGAGACTGAGTCCATTGTTGTGGTTAAACTGAGTTGCGATATCTTGTCCAAATGTATAACCAGCACCTCGTGGAGATATTCCCCACCCACATCGATCATCGGGATCAGACCATAGTAAATCACACATTGGTCCTTCGTGTGGAACCTAAAGATCACCACACATCAAAGATAGAGTCCAAGAGATGACCCATAAGATATTTGCTTTTTCATAAGAGAGCGAGTGGAGGCAGAGATTCAGAAACAATTAATAACTCTTCTAATATAACCCAAACTTAAAGAAGAAGGTAATATTACCTCCTGTATGCGATCCAAGCTTCGGATATTATCAAGTGTATCCAAAGAAGGTGATAACCCTCCATGCAAACAGAAAACCTGTAGTTCATAAAAAACTGATGCAAGTCAAAAAGTGTACTTACTTCAAAAAAATATGTCTGAAACACAAACTGGCAAGTAGAGCTCAAACCTGACTCTCGATAAGGGCAGTAAGAGGAAGATAATCGAAAAGGTCAGTGAAATACTTCCAGACATTTGCGTTTCCGTACTTCCTCAAACATTCGTCATAAAAACCATATCTAAAACAGAGAAGCAAAACACACGCATCAAACAAGGTAATAATATTTGATTAGAAAGAAGTAACAATATATCACAAAACAAAAGCTTACACTTGAGTAATCTGCCGACTCTCGTGGTTCCCTCGCAAGATTGTAAGTCTATCCCTGTAACGAACTTTCAGCGCCACCAATAAAGAAACTGTCTCCACTGAATAGTAGCCACGGTCTGCAAAGCAACAAAATCGGATGTTCAAAACCAAAGAATAATTACATATCACAACATCAATACATTAAAAAAAGATGCTAACTTTCCATCATCCGTTGAAAAAGATGCTACTTTTCAATTATAAATTAACAAAAAGACGCAAACTTTACAAGAATCAGCGTTTAATGAAACCACGCAGAAACGTTAGATCTAAAGGGAAGAGGACCAGACCTACATAATCACCCATGAAGAGGTAATTCGTATCGGGGGCGTTACCACCGATTCTAAAAAGCTCGATGAGGTCATAGAACTGTCCGTGGATATCGCCGCAGACGGTAACGGGGCATTTCACGGGCTGAACGTTCCATTCCTCGACGAGGATGGCCTTGGCTTGTTCGCAGAGCGTCTTCACGTCATCCTCCGATAAAGGTTTACACTCCATCAGATGTTCGATCTGACGGTCTAGATCTCCGTTCGGCGGCATATCGTAAAAAAGATGAATCGGGGCAGAGATCAATCAAAATCGTGCGCCTCAGGTCTCTTTTTTTTGGTGTGTTTCAGACTCTCTTTCTCTCTTTCTCTCTCTCCCCTTTGGCTGAGGAAAAAATGGATTTTTTAGTTAGAGAAAAAAAAGAGGAATACTTTCTGGTAGGCCTCGGCAAAAAAAACAGAACCGAAGAACCGAACCGGAACCAAATCGAAATATCCGGAATTAGAACCGAACTGAAATCTTCAAATATCCGGTTCTTATATTTATATATCCAAAATAACCAAACCGAACAGGTACTCGAATATATAATAATATTAATTTTATATACATATAACATAATTAAATATATGATTTTAATTTTAAAATCTATTAAAAGTATTTAAAAATCGAAGATAACTAAATAATTAAAAAATATTCGAACTATCCAAAAGTAGACGGATAATTTTATCAGAAATATCCAAAATTTGTATTTAAATCATTCTAATTATTTGATATTTTATTTTAAATAACCGATAATATATCCGAACTACCCGAACCAGAATCAGAACCAAATAAAAACCAAAATTTTCATGTATTTCCTGGTTCCTAGTTTTACTATCTGAACCGAACCAAACCCGAAATTATCCGAACTAAACCGAAAATAGGTTAATTAGTAAATGGATCTTTCCCCTATCCAAACTATCCGAACCGAACTGATACTCGAAACGTGTGGACCTACTTTCTAGTTAGGATGGATGATAGGACAAATGTTTTAACCCACCGATTAAGGCTCGGTTTAGTTTTATTTTGACCACAAAATCGTGATTGATAGGATTTGGATTGGGTTTGTAACACGTGGAAGTTAGAGCCGAGTTGTTCTAGTTTGAATTTGTCTAAAGGAGTTGGTATGGTTCTTTGCATTTTGATTAGTCAAAATGTAACAAACCGAATATACAACTAAAACTAGTAGTAACCCAAAAAATGGGACAATAATTTTGCAAGCCCGTCAAAACTTACATGATAACGTGAAATGTCATGGGCCTGGGACTAGAGACTTAACGGGCGAGGAGAAGGCAGGTGGAAGCTGCAGTTAAAAAATAAACTCAGATAGGGGGCATCCCGAGAATTGAACTCGGGACTTCTCGCACCCTAAGCGAGAATCATACCACTAGACCAAATAACCCCGTTGTTGTTGGTAAAGAACCATAAATTGACATAATAAACCCAAACGAAAAGAGTTATATAAATAAACAAACAAGTCCTCTTCTTCTTCTTTCCGCCTGCTCCAGCATTGCGTTACCCTCCTCCCAGACCAGAGCGAGAGAAAAAGAAAAAAACAAGACGAGAGGGTTGCTCAAAAATCAGAATCAGTTTCATCACATATGCATGTTTAATTGTTCCAGGTGACTCCAAAACTTTACAAAACCTTGTTTTCCGTTTACTTGTGTAAAAACCTTTCTACTTGGAAGAAAAACTCAACCGACCAACGCTTTTTTCACCGATACCAAGGAACTTAGAAAGTTGTTTCTGTTGTGTTCACCGTACGAGTAACGTGATCTAGTCTTAAAGGTTTTATAATCAAACCATCTCTTGCCCTTGTTAGATTTTGCGGTTGGTAGATTTGGTTCTTGTTTTGCTATAGTGTGTGAAAACAAAAACCCTTTTGTTTGATTCCGAACTGATTGATTGTTTTTGTTTGGTTTGGCTGCTAAAACCTGATTTTTTTTTTGTCTAGATGAAGAGAGAAAGAGAAGACCCTGAAGCTCAAAGGCCAAGAAGGCCAGAAGTTTCTTCTCGAGGAGAAACGTAAGTCCCTCTCTCTCAGACTGTGAGTTTGTTTTCCTTATAGAGGCGTGTTATTAGGGTTTGCAACTTCATAAACTGGTTTTGATTCTTCAGTGTAAGTATCTGATCCATGTTTTTTGTGCGTTGCAGGAGAACCATCAAAGCGGGATTAACCACAACTGATGCCCTGCATTATCTCAAAACCGTGAGAGAGATTTTTCATGACAATGTAGGCAAATATGAGACTTTCCTTGAGGTCATGAGAGACTTTAAAGCTCAGAGGTATTACATTACCTTCTTCTCCTTCTCTCTTTCTTTTTAAAGGTCACCGTGTATATTCATTGTGTCTTATGTTGGTTGCAGAGTCGACACTGCTGGTGTCATAAATAGAATCAAAGATTTGTTCAAGGGGTACAACGACCTACTCTTAGGTTTTAATACTTTCTTGCCCAAAGACCATTCAATAACCCTTGAAGAGAAGCCTAAGACCAAGGTGGATTTCAAAGATGCTATCAGTTTTGTCACCAAGATTAAGGTATGTAATTGTAAATATTACACACTGAGAGGTAATGTTGATTTTCTTTCGGGTAAGGTTTACTTTAATTATCACTACTTTTGCAGGCAAGGTTTGGGGGTGATGAGCATGCATATAAAACTTTTCTAGACATCTTGAACATGTATCGAAAGGACAGAAAGTCCATCGCTGAGGTCTACAAAGAGGTATGTTTAAACTTTCTGCCTAGTCTCTTATTTGTTAGAGCGACAGTTCTAACGCATTTCTTTGCTCACCATCTGTTGTGTAGGTTACTTTGCTGTTCAAGGGTCATGAAGATCTCCTCGTGGAGTTCGTTAATTTCTTACCTAATTGTTCAGGATCTGCTTCTGCAAAGAATGCAGTACCGCGTCCTAAGGTTAGCTCCAGCATCTTTTGTGCAGTTAGCCATATCTTTGATGTAATGCTTTGTGGGGAAATGAACTTTGGCCATTCATCCTTTCCTCTAAGCAACTTGATGATTCAGGTTTTGATTGAGATATTGATCTACTCCTTTTTGCCACAGAGAATAAAACGAGAATGTAAGCTTGAAGACGAGTCTGAACACTCTGATCAACGAGAAGATGGTGATGAGAACCTTGTCGCTTGCTCCGCTGGTAATTCCCTGGGAAGTGAGTATTCGGATGGCCTGTTGCATTTCTATATGATGTGTTTCATTCTAGTGACGTAGATGTACCCTCATCTTTTATATTGTGACCATGATCATTTTTTCTCTGTTAAAGTCTTAAGTAGTTTGTTTATATCTTCATCTTGTATACTGTGATCATCCCCAGTGGTTTATATCTGGCTCTAAGCTACTTAAGTTTTGCAGACTCCCTTGTAAAAGAAAATAGAGAAGATGGTGAAAGAGATACAGATAGAACTGACAAAAGTGCAGCGGCTGGCAGTAGTGATATTGGAAATCAAAAAAGTCCACTCCCTGCTTCAAAGTATGCGGGAATACCTATAAATGAACTTGATCTTTCCGAATGCGTTCAGTGTACGCCAAGTTATCGGCGCCTTCCAAAGGATGTGAGTGCCACGTTCTCCTTATTAACATCTTTATACTACACTGCAGTTTACTACATCATTCCGTTCTTTTATAATCACATGGTTGATCTTTGTCCATGCAGTATCCAGTTGAGATTCCAAGGTACAGAAATGCACTTGGTAAAAAGGTACTTAATGACCACCTGGTATCCGTCACCTCAGGGAGTGAAGATTTCTCGTTCAGTCACATGCGCAAAAACCAGTATGAAGAAAGCTTGTTTCGGTGTGAGGATGACAGGTACGATCTGGTATTTGATAACAAATCTCATATGGTTGGGCCGGGCTATCTCTCCTTTTGAGAAATGGTGATCTTTTTCGTCGCAATAAAATCTCTCTTCAACATTCCTAATGTGTATCCAGGTATGAAATGGACATGTTACTAGGATCTGTAAGTTCAGCTATTAAACACGTGGAAATTCTTCTGGAAAAGATCAACAACAATACGATCTCAACGGACACTATATGCATTGAAAAACACTTATCAGGTAAGTCGTTTGTTTGCAACAAATCTAGAATGACTACATTTTTTCCTATCTTCGCTTATTTGTGCTAATAACTTTCTAAATGACTGTATCTTATAGCTATGAACTTACGATGCATTGAGCGGTTATACGGTGATAATGGCGTTGATGTCATGGATCTTATGAAGAAGAATATGCATAGCGCTTTACCGGTGATACTAACGCGCTTGAAGCAGAAGCAAGAAGAATGGGCAAGATGCCACGCTGATTTCCAGAAAGTTTGGGCTGAAGTGTATGCCAAGAATCACCACAAGTCACTAGACCATCGTAGTTTCTATTTCAAGCAGCAGGACGCCAAGAACTTGAGCACAAAATGTAAGCTTCTTCTCAAAAAAAATTCTTATTAAGTTTGTTATGAGAAGATCTCCACTCTACTTTGTAGCTTTGATGAACCACTTAAATTTCATTGAAAATTGTAGCATCAGATTGCTGATTCTGAGAGCAGATCCTAGATTTTGTACAGTTTGCATCAATGCCATTGTTTTGTTGGGTTCTTAAATGCAGGTTTATTGGCAGAGATAAAAGATATCAGTGAGAAAAAACATCAAGAAGATCTGCTTCAAGCTATTTCTGTCAGAGCTATGCCTTCTTTTACTCCGGATTTGGAGTTCAATTTTTGTGATACACAAATTCACGAAGACCTATATCTGCTAATCAAGTATTACTGTGAAGAATTTTGTACGACTGAACAAGCAGATAAGGTAATGAAGCTGTGGACAACCTTTTTGGAGCCCATGTTCGGCATTCTTTCAAGGTCTCAAGGTAACCTGGGGATGGACGATGTATCGAAGGTAAAAAACAACCAAGGATTGCTTGATGCAAGTGTTACAGTGAAGGACAGCGCTTCTGGGTCAAACCGTAAACATTCTAGATCCCCGGAAAAGCTGAACAAGGATAAACCAGCAGTGAAAGGCAGCTCTCCTGGAAAAGATGTGTCTTCCATTATAGTGAAAACAGTTAAGCACAATAAACTGCAAGGTGATGAAGCCATGACTAATGAGGTAAGTCTTTGTGTGGAGTTGTTTTAAACCATATCGTATGTACTTCGGCTCTAATAAAACTAAAATGAAAAACTACCATCTTTAGTTTCCATTTTGATCCTTAACTTTGGTTCATGGTTTGCAGTCGTCTAAGCTGGTGTCACCAAGAAAAGATCAGATAACTGAAAATGTAGAGGTTCGTAAGGTTAAGGAAGTATCAGTTGGAAAGCATGAGCTTGAGCGGGAAGAGGGTGAGTTATCTCCCACTGGCAATTATGAGGTGGCTAATGGACCCGAAGGTGAAGATGGATCCTTGGCATGTTCAGAAAGGTTTCTGGAAACTGTAAAACCTGTTGCCAAGCATGTGCCTGGGCCATTGAAAGCTATTGAAACTGGCTCCCAGAATGATTCTCGAGTCTTTTACGGGAATGATTCGTATTATGTGCTATTTAGGCTTCATCAAGTAAGGACTGTTTAGAGCAAACTTCTCGAGTCTTAATATGATAGTTTTCATCTCCGGTGCTAATTACTTCTGCTCGTTTTCCAGATGTTGTACGAGAGGATGCAATCAGCAAAGAAACAGGCAGAGAAGAAGGGGAAGGCTCCAGATAACACAACTCCTGATTCTTATGCAAGGTGATATATTTTCTAAGTTAATAGTTTTTTTTCTTTAACAACGTTTCCTTACTGATTTTTGGAAGCATAACACTTTTTAGGTTCATGGATGCACTCTATAATTTACTTGACGGTTCTACTGACAATACCAAGTATGAAGAGGAATGCCGCTCTGCTCTTGGAGCACAATCTTATGTTCTTTTCACATTGGACAAGCTAGTTCAGAAGCTTGTTAAGCATGTAAGAACTAACTAATTTCTTGTCTCCTTGACTCTCTGCGTCTATTCTCTTTCCTGATCACTGGAATTATTTGGATATGTTTCAGCTCCATGCGGTTGCATCTGATGAGACAGACACCAAGCTTGTGCAACTATACGCATATGAGAACTGCAGAAAAAAGGGAAGATTCTTTGATCTAGTGTATCATGATAATGCACGTGCCATTCTCCATGAGGCAAACATATACCGAATCAGATATGTAGGTTTCTCCTGAACTTCAGTTCTTTTTTTCTATTCAAGTCGTTGCTTATAAATATCATTTTGGAACTTATTTTGCAGTCGTCGGCAGAAACCAGTCTCTCTATTCAGCTTATGAACAGTCATCCTGATCTAACGGGTGCAGCTATGGAGCCCGGTTTTGCAGACTATCTACAAAATAACTTTCTGACATCCGTCAATGATGAAGAGAAGCATGGAGTGTTTCTGAAAAGGTGAATGAAGCATTAATAAGAGCATAGGGTGTATATATGTTTTCTTTGGCTCGGGAGTAATGTGTAAGCTAACTATCTGCAGGAACAAGGAGAAACTCACCGGTTTGGATGAATCTTCGGGGATGCTTGTTGCAATGGAAGGATTGAATGTTATAAACGAGATCGAATTCAAGATGGCTTGCAATACTTCAAAGGTACAACATATCATGTTTGTATATCTGCTGATGAACGAAACTTACTTTGTCCCCAATGATTCAACTGTTGTAGGTGAAGTATATAGCAAACACATCAGATCTTTTGTACAGAAGCAAGCAGATGAAACAGAATCCGAGGCTTAAAAGAGTGAGTGAAATCTCAAAACAGAGGAGAATCTCGCGGTTTCACATTATGCTCAATTGCAAAATTATGGCCTTGCCGTCTCTATAAGCACGTACTTACTCCAACTCCGTCTCTCTAACATCGTATCTTCTTTGATGTAATGGTTCTACAGTAATGAGACTTAAAACGTTGTGTGTGTGTGTGTTTTTCTTGTTTCAGGTGTTAGTGTTGAGGTTCTTAGTGGCAAAGATTATTTGGCTCTTAGAGATTATGCAAAGGTTTGGTGGTAAGAGTAAGATCATCATATGACTTATGATTCATCAATAAGCCACCTTTTTTGTTTCTGCCAGAATTAGACCTTTTGATGTATAGTTTTTATAAGAATATATTGTATGATACCAAAGCTGGCAAATATCGGGGAGTGGCAATATTTTCACTCAACAAGTCTTTCATCTCATGTTTTATTACTCCTTAAAATGAATTTCTCTTACATAATTCAAGCTCACGAGTTTGAATAATAGCAACACACATGAGACTAGTTTAACGTGATTTTGATTGGGACACTACAGTAGCAGCGATCGGGACACTACAGTAGCCAAATAAGACAAAAGAGAAAAGGAAGACATATTCGTTCCCCACATGAAGGGACAAAACGTAACCCAATGAAAATATTTGTTAAATTTATTGCAAATTTTTAAGTCTACGCCAGACGTGAGGAGTATCCTTTAGGGGATGATTTTGTTGTCGACAATAATTAATGGGTTTTGTTGGTATATACACTGTACATAACCATTTTAATATTGAGTTTCTCCGTCCAATGTGGTTAGCTGTCATTAACAGTACATGAGGAGGTTATACTAATATGATCCTTATATATGCAAATTTAAAAATATTGAAGGTAATGAAGTAACTTTTGGATACTGCATCCAAGTGAAAATGCGTGCCAGAGACAACGGATCTCTAAAGACTATTTATGGAAATATATGCCCTGAAGAAAGGGAACAAGAGTTGCCCATTTCCAGCTTTACAAACTTTTTTTTCTTGTTTTTTTTATTTTTTCTTGCTTACTTTAGACACATGTACACATGCCTATTATTAATGATCACTTCTTTGTATAATAGTAATAGTGTTCGTTTTTGTGTTTATAAATTAAACTTTTCATCAAAGAATCCGCTTAACTATGCTTTCAAGTCTCACCTCTATATCTACTTTGTATCGGGTTCAGACGTTATCAGTTACTTGTTTTGTATGTGGAAGAAAAGCATTAGCTCTTCTTCAATTCTTGAATTTTAAGATCTAAGCCACGTTATTGATAATTTAAGATGTCAAAACTGAAACAATCTTCAATAAACGTACGCAATAATAGGCATCATTTGAACAAGTGATCCTAGAGGTCTCTAATATGCATCTAAAAATCGTTTTGTGTGCAGAAATGATAAAGCAAGACCACACCCCAAATACAAGACAAAAATGGTAGGCTCTTTCATACAAAATTATAGGAAATACAAAATGGTCCTTTTCTTCCATTTTCCTTTAATTAAAGCTTAAGAAGTGAAAAACCATAACTTTGTGCATAACAGTTTAAATAATTATAGGAAATTCGTAATGCTTTCAGAAACAGAAAGACCCACGTGGAGCGAGATTAAAGGATATCTATAGATTGACGGCGTTAAGTCAACGTGCAGTTAAAAACACCGTCAAAAGTAAAAAAGTTAACGGAGAAAAATATAACATGGATCCCCCAGAATAGTAAAAAGAACTTTCACAGTTTCACTAATCCAAACTGGGACTCCTCATCTTCTGCCGTCGAACCGGCGANAAAAGAACTTTCACAGTTTCACTAATCCAAACTGGGACTCCTCATCTTCTGCCGTCGAACCGGCGATTCCTCCGGCGTCGGCGAAGACTCAGTCGACACATCGTCATCTTCATCGTCTAATGGGAATGAGAGCGGCGAGGACAAGCTCTCCACGGGAGATAACGGCGGAGAAGAAGCGTCCGACGAATCAGACGAGAGAGTCAACGGCGGCGAAGAAGACTCCGAGGAATCAGGCGAGAGAGTCAACGGCGGAGAAGTGTTGACGGAAACAGAATCTTCTGGAAGCTTCCGTTTGTTTCCGTTAGATAGTTTAACGTCACTGGTTAAATAGTTTCTCAGGCGTTTCACGTCGGCGAGTTTCACCGGTTTCAGTAAAAAATCCTCCGCACCTTCCTCAAGACATCTTCCGGAATCAGTTTATCAGTAAACAGTTTCTATATTTAAAAATCAACAAAGTTTGAGGATTTTATAACGAAACTCACCTGTCGATTCTGGTTATTACATTCTCGGATGACATTATTACAACCGGAACTTGTCGGAAACTCGACGATTCCTGTTTCATATTCCCGATTCCACATTGTTCAGACAAGACTCAAATTAAATAGAAACAATTATCTTTAAAACGGCGTCAAAATTCAGACCTTGATCTTCTTAAGAAGCTCGTAGCCAGTCATTCCAGGCATGCAGTAATCCGTAATAATCAGATCAACTTTCAATCTCTGAGAATCGGTAAGAAAATAAATAAAAAATCTTTTTTTTTTTAATTTTGTAAATTAAATAAAAAGCTAAATTCGAAGACCTACATCGAGTTCGGCAGAGGCTTTTTCGTTATCTATCCCTAGGAATTCCAGAGCACGCCATCCGCTATCTACAGCCGTGACTGAAACAGAGCCGCCAAAGATATGTTTTAGAATTTTTCCGACGAGAAGATGTTTAAATGCATTTTTTTTTGGTTATTTTTTAATTAGGAAGACGAACCTTTGCAGGAGGTAATACGAAGCAATCTCTCGATGACAATCCGATCAACGAGGCTGTCATCGACGGCCAGGACATGAACTTCATCTACATCCAAAGGAGGAGATTCCATTCCTCCGATGCCGCCGACGTTTATCATCTCCGGCCTCCGTAGACAAAAAACGCCACCGTCGCTGGCCATAGACGAGTAGTGGTGAGAGGAGAGGATATTAAATGGTTAAGACAAGAGAGAAGAAGAGAGAGTTCACATCTGTTTTCTTTTCCTCTTCTCCTCTGCTTTATATTTCTGATTTTTTTTCTCACTCTGAATTTTTTTAAAAAATAATCTTTCCAGGGAGAAAAATCCAACGAAATCTTTTATGAAATATTTATTTAATTTTTATATGCCGTGCTTTTAGGGTTTGAAAATTGACCTTTATTTTGAAGAAAAAAAATAATATTAATAAAATTGGACTTCTGAAAATCCGGTGGTGGGGGACCTATACGAATATCATACAGATAATATTCCTAAATCTAATAAATAATAGAGGAAATCCGTACAAAAGACACGGAAATATATACCATAGACAGATCATGAGATAAATATCTCTTAGGTAGTGTGAGTGAAAATCTGAAAATGGACTTTTAACTGTTCATAAACAGAATAAAAAGCTGAATATGTGAAGCTAGTTTGGTCACCATTGCAGTTTACAGTAGCGGTTAAAAAAGTAAACATGTTAACTAAAGTGGTTATAATCCGGCTCGGTTATGATCGGTTTAACGAGACATTTTGTTGGTCAAGTATACATTAAGCATTTACTAAGGCAGTTCACATTCAGTGTCAATGTGTCATGCATGTTTCAATGTAACTGAAACAGTAGTCACGAAATCTCGATTTTTAACCAGGATAATCTTTCACTGCAGGTTTGAAAGTGTTCTTCTTAACACGTTATGTTATAGTCTTGTAGTTGTAGATCATACACGTATTTAAAAATGTAGATCAATAACGCAAAATAATATTGTTCCATGTGATTGGTCAGTTTTACTTTATTGTCACCAAAGTGTAAAGATGCAATCCATAGAATAAATAGTTGACAAACAAAAAGAGAATAAATATCGTAAATTCAGATAAGCTATACGTATAATGCCATTTTCCAAACTGCCGATAGGATGACATAAATCATAACGTAGCTGCAATAACATTATAACAAAACATTATGTTATCCAAACTAAACGCTTAGTTAATCTACAAAATTATAAACTAATCCAAAAAGCCAGCAAAAAATATAGGAGTATGATTTATTTTGACAAATTGGAAGATGGACAGAATAATAACGCATTGACGTCCACATTAAAATTAGGATTCGTAGGTCCCAAGGAAATCGAAAGGGAGAGACCCATTAATCTCTAGTTATTCTTAGGTTCACCATCAAATAGAATTGCATTATTACATATTTGATATCTTAAAAAAAAGAAACAAAATCTTATTAAGTTATATTATATTTTTAAGAATAAAAATACAACAATAAATAATAAATAATAATAAATAATAAAAATGAAAATAATTTTTTTTTAAAAAAATATTTTAATACTAAACCCTAAACTCTAATCCTAAACCCTAAATCCATAGGTAAAATCATAAACTTTTTAATAACTTTTATAAAAAAATTCTTTAAAAAATATATTTTAACACTAAACTCTAAACTTTAATCCTAAACCCTAAACCCTTGGGTAAATTATAAACACTAAACCCTAAACTCTAATCCTAAACCCTAAACCCTAAACCCTAAATCCTAAACCCTAAACTCTAATCCTAAACTCTAAACTCTAATCCTAAACCCTAAACTCTAATCCTAAACCCTAAACCCTTGAGTAAATCATAAACACTAAACCCTAAACTCTAATCCTAAAGCCTAAACTCTTGGATTAATCATAAACGCTAAATTTTTAGGATTTAGTGTTAAAATATTTTCTTTAAAAAGAATTATTTTCATTTTTCTTATTTATTATTATTTTTCTTTATTTTCTGTTTTTATTTTAAAAAACATATATAACTTAATAAGATTTTGTTTTCTTTTTAAAAAGATATCAAATCTGAAATAATACAATCCTATTGGATGGTGAACCTAGAGATTCACTCTAGGGGGAGAATCCAAGAATTAATCTTTTTTCTGGGTCATTGGATTTCTCTTTTTCTTCCAAACATAATTTGCTGTTTAACTCTTTAGACACCACACCGTATCAAATCTTGGAGATTGCTTTTACTTTGTCTTTCCCCACTCAAAAATAATTAAATTATGCATAAATGTATTTATTTTTGTTAACTGCACTTATTAAAAGGTTAGTTTTACTAAAATTTATCTTGTTAATAAACAATCACTCTTTAAAGAAAATGTAAAATTAAATTGTTCAAAAGAAGAACAAAACTCAATACAACGACATCCTCCTAGAAGAGCCATCGCAACAACTGATACATGATACAACAAGGCAGAGAGAAAAGGCCTCATGACGCGTGAAATCAGATTTTTTATTATTTTTTTTTTTTTTGATTAACCAGGTGTTGACCAGCCTTCGGCCAATCCACCACCTAGTGCACGGCGCCAGCCTGCGTCTGTACCGGTTAAGGCCCTGGACACGCCTCCCCGCCTGCGAATCGAACAGTTGACCTCCCAAAGTTGAGGGGCAGGTACCACTGGACTATCGAGTCCGGGTAAGAAATCAGATTTTACGAGCTAATCAACTAAAAGTGCAAGGAATATAATTTTTTTCGTTATCTTGAAATGCTTAGTTAGACCTGTTAGGATGATATTAGACAGATAATAATTTTATTACCCCGCTATAATACATATTAGCTAGACAATCATTTTTTAAAAATTGTTAGGTGTTCAAAACAAAAAGCTAGATAATATTTTATTACCCCAATATAATCTACATTTGCTGGATAATAGTTTTGATAAACTGATCATCTATGCGGTTCTCATTTGTTTAGCCAGATAAAAAAATATTTATTTGTTTTTTGGTTATAAATACATCAAGAAGTTTCGAAAAGTAAAGTTGACGTTAACTTTAAATTATGGAAATGTGAAAAAATGGAGATAAAAAAAAACGACGCTGGCTTAATTTATTGAATCACCATTTCAAATTTAAATAGGTGGACATGACCTAGGCCTAACAAAGGTTTCAATTATTTAGGCTCCTAAGGGTGATTGTGGATTTGATAATAAAAACGGTGCCGAATTAAAGTGTGAAATGGTGCAACTGTGGTTCGTGCGGAATAAGAGTGTGGTACGAAACAACTGTAGTTTTAAGTAAAAAGTAATATAGAATATTGTTTGATTGGTGACAATACACATTTGTGGTATTGAATGATTATTAAATAAATAACAATAATACAGAATTTAATATATTAGAATAAAATAAATAATAATTAATACAATAAAAATATTTTAAAATAAAAATAATTTCGAAGGAAATATTTTTGATAAATGCGTTTTGCTAAAATAATCGATACAAAATAATATTTGATTTGGTGAAAAACTATTTTGTGTTTTTGCTAAATAATTAAAATAATGTAAAATATTTTTTTTGGTCAAAATATAAAATCTGGTTCCGACTTTTAGGTTCTAGAGATATAAAACTGGTTCGAATAACTGATAGGATCCAAACTCGGACCTACTCGAAAAATAGATTTTGTTTGGTATTCTCCAATTCCGGATATATGTGCATATATTTATCTATTTTTCTATTTAATAAATTTGGTTTAGGTACTATTTTGAATTTTTATCTTTTAGTTAACTATTTTTAATAAGTATATAACTGAAATCTTATCATATATGATTTTATCAAGAGTTTAAGTATTTAAAATTAATAATAGTTAATTAATTTATTAATATGCACATTACGTAACATGAAATATTTATCTCTTTTTCATGTTTAATTTTTAAATATTTTTGTGTTTAAAAAGTTACTATGTAGTGCGTAATTGGAAATTCTGCTGCATTGGAAATTCTGCTGCTTATTACCTGCTTCAAATTTCAAGTGTGATATTTGGTAAAATGAACTGTATTACATGTCTAGTATTCCGTGTGTGTATTTCATCGTGTTCCTAACAAATACGTAAATGCTTTTTATTGTTTTTGTGATTGGTGATGTAAGTGCATTTTTACAATAATGCTTTCAAATACGCACCACACTCATTCGCCAATCACTATCTTAGATAGTGATTGGAAACAGAGGTGCGGTGCGTATTTTACATGGAATTAGCGGAATTGTCAAAGTGACACCAATCAAAAAAAAATTAAATTTGCGGAACGTTCCAAATGAAAAAAACGTATTTGTCTAATTTTTTTTGTAAAGTTTTTTGTTTGTTCAGTCAATTTGAAAAACACACTTGTTGCATGGTACGCTCATTTATGGTGCGGTTTTGAACTATTGATATGGTTTTATACACTTTTTTCTCTTGGTTATTTATTTACCATTGTTATTTAATTTAAACATTTAAGAATCCAGACTAAACTTAACTGTCAAAAATATTTGAATATTTTGAGCTTTCATATTTATTCTAAACTAGATTTAAAAAAAATAATAACAAAAAAAAAGAAGAAAAAATCATATTTTCAGCTTGTGTTTGAATTTGGTTAGGAAATTATGTAGCGATAGGATATCTATGTCGGATTGGATTCAAAACTAGGTAATTTACTCAGGTTTAATCTAAATAATATGCTTAATCTAAACAATGGATAAGAGTAGGTATGGACATTCGGATATTCGGTTCGGTTCCGGATAGGAACAATTTGGTTCCGGGTATATCGGATAAATCATTCTTATACCCAATAAATACTTATGGGATTTCGGTTCGGTTCCAGTTCGATTTCGGTTCGGTTCCGGATACCCGTTTAATATATAAATCAAATATATATATACACAATTTATTAGTTAATATTTTAATTTAAATGGTTTAGTGTTTACACGCTACATATTCGTCAATCCAACAAGAATTTGAATCAATAAAGTGTTAATTTTATAACTATTTATCGTATTTTAATATAGAATACTATATATATTTATAATATAAGAGAATAAATAAAACATAATGTGGTCTGGTGGTAAAAATGTACTTACTCTTTGTATCTAACCTGGATTTAAGTAGGTTTGATGTCATTTTATCTTATTTTTTAAAAAATTCCCTTTTTTCCGACTATTTGGGTACCCGTTTGATTCTCGGTTAGGTTCCAATTCCGGTCCGGGTTTTCGAGTATAAAAATATATGAATCATTCAGATAATTAAAAATTTTGGTCTGATT